CTTTATCAAGCCCTCTTCCTGTAGCCAGTGTCCTGCGAGTCTCCCGAATTCCGTCTGCAGACATGTGTAACCCTCGCTCCGGCATCGCCCCCCTTATAAAGTGTCCTAAACTATTTGCGCCCCGCTTTTGCACAGGGGTTGGGTACGTTGCCAGGGTAATTTGAAAAGAGACTCTATGTTGTGCAGTCTCTGTTCTGCACGCGTGTGGTGCAGTGTATGTTGGGGGTGAAAAGATGGAACATCTATGTTGGCCAGTCTTATGTGAAGCAATCTGTGTGGTACAGCCCACGTGATCCAATACAGTTGTGCAATACAAATGGTGCAATTGATGTGATTCAACTCATGTTGTGCAACCAATGTTGTGCAATCTATGATGTGGAAACTATGTGGAACAATCGGTGTGGTGCAATCACCGTGATGCAACCTATGGTGTGCAATCTACATGGTGCAATATACGTGGTGCAATATATGTGGCTCAATCTACGTGGTGCAGTCTACGTGTTGCAGTCCAAGTTGTGTGCATCAGGCTCTGCAGCCTATTTGGTGCAATCCAATGGCGGCGACGAGCAGCAAAGGCGGCGACGGGACGGCGACGGCGACAACGTAGCCGCATGACCGACAAACAGGTACAGACGACGGGTGGCGACGAGGCAGCGACGGGGCGGCGACGGCGACAACGTAGCCGCCAGACCGACAGGCAAACCCAGACGACGAGCGGCGATGAGGCTAGTTTGGCGCGACCGACGCGGCAGGGCTGACCGCTAGGGATTCCCCAGCGCGTCTCGCAGGCCGCGCTGATGCGCGGGCACTCAATTGCGAGTCGGTGACTCGGGCGGGCGCGGTATCATGGCGATGTCGACAACAGCAGACGCGTTTCTGACAGTAGCGATGCTGGTGACGATGATGACGATGACGATGGCAATGCTAATGACGGCGCCAAAGCTGGCACGCGGGCGACGATGATGGCGTCCACGTGTCAGCATCGGAGGTTTCGGACAGATTTCGACATGCGCGCGCGGCCGACGCGGGCGAGTGGGCCACGTATTTTTTGACAGGGACCGTGGCCCCCCAAGCAGACGCGCAATTGCGCTCGACTAATTTCGACATGCGCGCGCGAACGGCATGCTCGCATCTGATGAAAGTGTTGAAGAGCCTATGGGCTGGAATTCGCAAGAACGCGCTCGCAGGGTCCTTTATCAACCCTCCTTCTATCCCTGCCTTTGCCCTCCGCACACGTCTGATTTCGCACACCCCTCACACGCTTCGTGGCCCGATAAGAAGCTCCACCAAAAGTCCCAACGGCGCAGTACGCATACGGTCCCGCCACCCATTTCGGTACACCGCTCACACGTTTCGTGGCCCCATAGGTCCCAATGGCGCAGTTCGCATACGTTCCCGCCACCTGTGTCGGCACACCCCTTACACTTTTCGTCCCTCCATACGGGGGCTCCACCGAAGGTCCCAATGGCGCAACACGCATGCGGTCCCGCACCCATGTCGGCACACCCCTCACCCGTTTCGTGGCCACATAGGGAGCTCCACCGAAGGCCCCAGTGGCGCAGTTCGCATGCGGCCCCGCACCCATTTCGGCACCGCTCACACGTTTCGTGGCCCCGTAGGGAGCCCCACCGAAGGTCACAGTGGCGCAGTTCGCATGCGGTCCCGCACCCATTTCGGTACATCCCTCACACGTTTCGTGGCCTCATGGGGAGCTTCACTGAATGTCCCAATGGCGCAATGCAGTTCGCATGTGGTCCCATACCTATTTCGGCACATCCCTCACACGTTTCGTGACCCCATAGGGTGCCCCACCGAAAGTTCCCGTGGCACAATTCGCATGCGGTCCCGCAACCAGGTCCGCACACCCCTTCACACGTTTCGTGGCCTCATGGCGCGCTTGACTGAATGTCCCCAGTGGCGCAGTGCAGTTCGCATGCGGTGCCGCACCCATGTCGGCACACCCCTCACACGTTTCGTGGCCCCATAGGGAGCCACACCGAAAATCTCCGTGGCGCAATTCGCGCGCGGTCCCGCAACCCTGTCGGCACACCCCTCACACGTCCCGTGGCCCAATAGGGAGACCTACCGAAGGTCCCAGTGGCGCGGGTCGCATGCGGTCCTGCACCCATGTCGGCACACCCCTCACACGATTCGTGACTATATATGGAGCTCCACCGAAAGTCCCAGTGGCGCAGTTCGCGCACGGTTCCGCAACCATTTCAGCACACCCCTCACACGTCCCGTGGCCCAATAGGGAGACCTACCGAAGGTCCCAGTGGCGCGGTTCGCATGCGGTCCTGCACCCATTTCGGCACCCCCCTCACACGTTTAGTGGCCCCATGAGGAGCTCCACCGACGGTCCCAGTGGCGCAGTTCGCATGCGGTCCCGCGCACATCCCTCACACGAGTCGTGGCCCCATAGGGAGCTCCATTGAAGACTCCAGTGGCAGTGCGCGCATGCGGTCCCCTCACCCATTCCTGTACGCCACTCATAAGTTTGGTGGCCCTATCGGGAGCTCTACCGAAGACGATGCTCACAACTGCGTTACGCACACATGCATCATATGGTTGGGTCCTTCGCCAGGCTAGCACCGCATCCTCCTCCCCTCCTCCTCCTCCTCCTCCTCCTCCTCCTCCTCCTCCTCCTCGCGCTGCCCTCCTCCCTCCTCCCATCCCTGCCTTTGCTCTCCGCGTGTGAACCACTTCGTGGCCTATAGGGTGGCTCCACCGAAGGTCCCAGTAACGCAACCTGTATGAGTCCACCGCACCTGTTCCGGCACATTTGGCCCCACAGGAAGCTCCATCGAAGGTCCCAGTGGAGCAGCCCGCATGCGCCCGTCCCACTCATTTCGGCACACCCTTCACACGTTTCGTGGCCCAATAGAGAAATCCACCGAATGTTCCAGTGGCGCAGCCCGCACGCGCCCGCCACACCGAAATGGCACACCCCTGACGTCCCGTGGTCCCACCGGGAGCTCCACCGAAGGTCCCAGTGGCGCAGCCCGCATGCGTCCGCTCTACCCATGTCGGTACACCCTTCACGCGTTTCATGGCCCCACACAGAGCTCCATCGAAGGTCCGGGTGGCGTAGACCGCATGCGTCCCCCCGCTCGTTTCGGCACAACTTTCATGGCCCCATTCGGAGCTCCACCAAAGGTCCCAGTGGCGCAGCCCGCATGAGTCCCCCGCACCAGTTTCGGTCCTACAGGGAGCTCCACTTTAGACGATACTCGCAACTACGGCACTCGCAACTGCATCTGGCTGGGTCCTTCGCTGGGATAATTTTTTAGTGTCCGGGAACCTCGATCTTGAAATCCCCACGACGCCTATGGTTTGTTGAAAGTTCCGGCATGCGCGCGCGACGACGCGCGCGTCCCGATTTGTTACATCTGTTGCAAAGCAATTTGGGGAACTGCAGACTGTTGATGCACGAATGTGCGCGCATAATACTATTCACACGCATGAGGGGCTGGGCAATACAGCCCCCTCCCTTGGGATGGTGTGAATTCCCATGTAGAGCGAACGGTAAGGCACCTCTCTGGTAGGAGTTCCAATGGTATGAGATCCGTCTGTTCTTAGCGCCTCGCGCGTTGGTTTAGCATGCTTCCAACAATTACAAACAGATCGAGGGCTGTCCGTGCAAAGACTGTGGCTGTCGCCTCGGCGCCGGTCGTATCAGCAGTTCCCAGTGGTGGTGAGATTGCACTGGCTCTCGCCTCAGCGCTGCGACAACTCGTCTTCAGATGCCCCACCAGTTTCACGGGTGGTGGGCGGTTCCTGACTACACCCTGCGAAATGCTTAAGAAATCATGGGTTAAGAAATTCATAGTCTCAGAACTTGAATACAAACCCAACCTTTCTGTTAAAATCTTAAGATTTACATTGAAACGTCAAGAATAATCGAGACTCTGGCCGAAAACTTAGGTTTTCTTAAGCATCGCCTAAGGTGTAGGGCTGGTATCGATAGAATCGTCACGTCTGACTCCCCGGACCTCTCTCGAGGTGCGTTCGGGCTGGAAGTTCGAAGATCATCCAGCCGTGGCGACGAGAGCTCTCCGGGACGAGCAGCGGCACCGGTACCTGTCCCTCCTCCGAATCCCGTGACTGCTCTGCCCTGGCCGGAGAGCGTCCCGAGGAAGCGGGACCGCTTCCAAGAACCAACCGAATCGCCCAGAAATCCTGTTCACCAAGCGTTGCCCGTGGGGCGCGTGCGAGGAGGACTCCCTGCCAAGGCTCTGCCCCTCCTGTCCACGACCTCCAGCGAAGGTGAGGGGCAACGACTGGGGGGGGGGAAGCGTCGACCTGGCATCGGCGAAACATCACCGATGCATCGGCGATGAGTCCCCGATGATGAGTCTGCGCATTCATGGGCGGGGTGGGCTGTCGGGCCCCTCTCGGCGATGACTGGGCAATCGGGGGTCGTGGGCGCATCGCCCCTCGGTGCTGCCCCCGAAAAGGCCCGCCCCCTCTCGGACGCCTGGCGCTTGTGGGCCATACCTCGGCTCTCCGGCGGCCAGCCGGGACGATCTGGGCACCTCCGGAACGCCCTCGGCGAGGCGCCGCTGCCAGAGGGCACCCCGAGGCTGACAACCCGCCGAAATTCGACGAGAAGGCAAGAAACCTCGAATCTGGAACCTCGACCATAGAGCCTCGAACCTCGATTCGTCCCCCCAATAGCGTTGTTGTTGTTGTTGCTGCTGCTGCAGCTGCAGCTGCTGCTGCTGCTCCCCTACCCGTCGGTCGGTCGGAAGGAGGAGGTAGAACCATGACCCAGGAAAGCGTGGGAAATAGATTGGGTTTCCGCCCGCCCCCTGAAGAGGAGGGAAGAGGGAAAACCACTCGACCCTTGAAAACAGAAGGCGGCCACAGCAGCTTGGGATCTGGGAATCCAGCAACACCTCCTTTTCCAACGACCGCCGCGTACCGTTGCCCCTAGGCAAAGGGGCCGCCTCGCGCGGGGGAGAAGGTCCCAGAGGGGTGCGCGAGAGTGCGGCGGGGGCCTCCCTGCTGCAGCAGCAGCATGATGGGCCCCAGGGCGCCCGAGTTCACCACCACGGCCTGCCGACCACGGGATGGGACTCGCTGGAACCACGGATGTTGGAGCTGGCTGGGGGTCTCTTCGGCACGCCAGACCCTGGGCAAGAGTGACGATTGGCGAGCGGCCTAGAGGGCGCGCAAGCCGCTGGCGATCCACAGGCCCCATTGGGCCCGCACAAGGTCACTCCAGCGAAAGGACACTCTTACGTGTAGCCGAAGTCCTAGGTGGCCGAACAATGGTTCCAGCCAGCAGGATGAGCGGGTAGGTTCGAACTCTTGGGCTCGGGATACATGTTTGCACTCTTCGGCCTCCGAAGGCGTTTCCGGGCCCCCGAACACTGCAAAAGCATCTGGGGTGAAAACCAGCACCACGTGGACCCCAGGAGGGGTCCATGGACAGAATTTGAACGGATTCAGCCTCATCCCCCCATCCTGATCGATTTTCTGGGGTCCCAGTTCAGACCCCTTGGCCGCTTCCAAGAATGATGCCCTCCACCTCCCCCTCCCCCAACGTGTTGGGTCATTATATACGTGCGTTCTTTCTCATGTTTGGCCTTCGGGGGTCCTCGCCGGGCCCCTGAAGCCGCCAGAGGGAAACAAAAACAGGTCCGGGTATGGGGAAAAAGTCGGGACTCCCCAGGAGCCCGCACTGAAGCCAGCAAAAACATTGGATCTCAGGGTCTCTTCGCGCCATCGCGCCGCCGCCCTGGAGAAAGGCAACTCTCTGGTCCACGTCGCAACGCGCGAACCGTGATCACCTTTGCGCCCGAATGCAAACCTGTGGGCTTCGCGCACAGCACTGCGCTGGGAGGAGGGGAGACCAAGGGAAGAAGGGACCCTGTACTTCGGCTCGGCACTATCAATACACGCCCCATGAAAAAAAAACAGAGCATAAACATAACAACTTTCGACGGTCTGCGCGTATTTCTGGAATCTGCGCCGGACCCCCACCCTGGCGCGCGGGCGGCACCACCGGGGGCGCCGCCAGGGGGGCGCCAACGCCGATCGAACAAATTCGCGCGGAGCTCCGACAACCTGTGTTCATGGGATTGGTCTACTGCGACCGTGTCCTGGTCCTCTAGTTTCCCATCCGTCCACAACTTTGAGGAGTGATTGATCCTAGGAAGCTCTGACAAGCTGGGGAGCACCCGGGAGGACTCAGCGGAGGTGCCTGCGAGAAGAATCCTCCCAGGAGCACCCCAGCCCACAGGAGCTCCCCAGGAGCTCCCCAGAGCTCCTCCGGAGCCTTCAAGTGGCGCCTGGGGAGCGCCTGGGAGCGCCTGGGAGCGCCTGGGAGCGCCCGGGAGTGCCTGGGAGCGCCTGGGTGCGCCTGGGAGCGCTTGAAGAGCGCCTGGGAGCGCTTCTGGAACACCTGGGAGCGCCTTGGCCTCCAATTCTGCATGCAGCCACGGCACAGTTGCGCCGCAGCGCGCGACGGAGCAGCGGAGGGCGGCCGCCAACTCGCACGTGCCCGCGCGCAGAGTCGAGTCTTCAAACAGGAAGGGGCCCTGGGACACACAAATAAACAGATTCCCCATATTTTCCCATAATTTCTGGGTTTCTGTCTTCCCCCCCACTTCCCATATGTTCCCATCTTTTCTGGGAGCCGACAAACGTTTGTGCCTGTGTGTTTTTTCCCTCCTGAAAACAGTCCTTGACACAGAGCGGCATGACAGGTTGAACGAAAGGGGACCATGTCCTGGTCCTCCTGCAGCGCAGCGGAGGGGCGCATCAAGCCTATGATCCAACTGTCGAAGGCGAGCGGATGAGTTGCCGCCCTGCCAGCGGCGTGGCCTCTGTCGCCTCCGCTTCGGGAGCGAGGGCGCCGGCGGTCGTCTGCCAGCGCCCTAGGGGCGTTATTGAGGACATACCCCATGACCATACGAAGGAAAGCCGAGGGGGAGGGAGCATCGTCTTCCTTCTCGTCCTCCTCCTCCTCATCATTATTCTCTCATTCTCTATTCCTTCCGGCACAGGTGAGGTCAAATCTGGAACAGCCTCCCCAACGGAGCAAGTACGCTTGTGACCTCGATGCTCGATACTCCGCGCGGGTGTGGTACACAATTGCTCGAAACCTGTAGCGCAAACTTCAACCACAACAGGCTCCACCGTGAAACGAACATATGGAGATTGCCACGTATATGGCCTTATGGCCCAAGATAACCACTCCGACCCCATACGCTTTCTCCATATGGGCTTCCAAAACCCACGCTGCAGCAGAACACTGCAATGCGCGCGTGCCGTCATCGCAATACACTGGGTATTCGTCATAGGTCGAGAATCACGACAACGACGAATTCGGCGACAAGGACAACGAAGGCGACGGCGAGGACGACGACGAAGAAGTCAACGAGGGCACGTTTCGAAACTGGGTCTTCAAAGAACAAGCCCTCCTGACTGCAGAGGGATGGTTCTCCCTCAGGATGGGTGGTCCTCTCCCTCAAGATGGGTGAGTGCTGAGAGGAAACCGATCCTGAGAAACGTTTCTCGATAGAAACGAAATCCCGAAGATGGATTCCCAAGACAACTATCAGAGAACAGGATTTCTGTGAAAAGCCATGTTGAAGAACATCACTTCTGGTTTGAAGATGATTTCCACCTTGAAGAACTTACGGGAACACCTTCTTGAACAGAGAAAAACTCATCCTGAGGAATTGTCTTCCATGAAAACCCACATTCTGAGGAGAAGCCCGTCTGAAGCAGGGGTTGGATCGTCTTTGATGGAAAAGCCCATGTCCAGGACCGCGCTCTGGCGACGAGTTTGAGGCGGATCCAGCCTTGGCGACGACAAGAAGCCTTCACGAGGCCCAAAAAAAGGCCCCCAAAGCTGAATCCGCGAATCTCTCCCCTCCTCCTCCTCCTCCTTCTCCTCCTTGTCCTCCTCCTCCTTCTCCTCCTCCTCCTTCTCCTCCTCCTCCTCCTCGCTAGCCCAAGTGCTGCCTCCCTCCGTAGCCATTTTGGCTCAAGCCGGCCTCTCCCGCGCATGGCCGGTCCGGAGTGTGGCGCTGCAGGGGCTTGGGCATGTCGCTACGGGAGCCGCCTCTTCGAGGCGAAGCGGCAGCGCGGGCCGCCGAAGACAACCTGGTGAAGAAGCTCCTTGGCAAGATCGACGTGCTCCGCAGGGAGGTGAATCGGCTGCGTTCTCTTCAGCATGGCCCTGCTGACGAGGTCGCCCGACGCGAAGACATTGCACGGCCTGCTCTTCGCTCCCTTGTGGCTGGCGATCGTCTTTCTGGTGGCCGTCGTCTACGACGGAACGCTGCATGGCATGCAGCGGCTTGCCCGAGTGCGGGTGCCCCGCGCGAGGCATGGGTCGCAGCCCAGGCGGGCCCACGCCTCGGCTCAGGCGTCCCCTCGGCGGCACCTGCTCCCGAGGGGCAATGCCACGCTGAGGTCGGCGGGCTGCAGCGCGACACGGACGTTGAGACGCTGGCGGCGCCGTCGGCCCCCTCTCAACCCGCAGCGCTGTGCCGCGAGGCTCTGCCTTCCTTTCCAGGTGCTGGCGCTCATGAGTTTCGAGGTGGCACGTGCAACATGGACGACCTCCTGGAAGTGCTGGTGCCTGCTGTCAAGTATCCTGCGAGCAGGGTCCACCCCCCTGCCGCGGATGGCTCCGAGGGTGGTGGCGCAGCGTTGCCGCACGAGTCCGAGGCCCAGCTCACCAAGCAGATGGACGAGGTCAAGCCGAACTCGTCCGTCCTCCCTGCCAGCGCGTGGGAGGATCATCTCATGTTCACCGAATCCGATTGTAACGCGGAGGCGGGCGGCCTGCTTGCGAAGGCTCAGACCGACGTGCCCCTGGTCTTGCTGGCGCCTGCTGCTGCGCATCGTCATGCCCATGTGGATGGTGTCGATCGGGTATCGAGCTCTTCGTGGTGGTTTGCTCGTGATCTCGTCGCCCGTGCTTGGCTGCGTGAAGCTCCAGTTCGTGAAGATGTTGATGATGCTACACCTTGCGTTGGTGACGGTCCCACCGCTGCTGCCGCTCCTTTCGTTTTCGCCCAGGGTATTTTCCGCGAGGTTGTGGACGATTGTAAGTGCGGCTCCAGCGCGCAGAGAGTTGATTTCAAGGGTACTCGGCTGGACGCTCGTTCCAAACGCAACGTGAAGGCGAAGTAACATCCTCGGCTTCTCCTGCGAAGTGTTCGGGGCTCGTCGTGGTGGCCTGCATCGTCCCCGCTCTGGAGTTCCTCCTGCCCGCGCTGCTGGAAGGAGCCCAGGGGCCGTGTCCTGCGGTTGACGTTGAACCAAGTGCTGCCTCACACGGCGCAGTCTCGCCCGCCCTTCCCTGGCCCCCCCTTCCCCGCCCCTCCGAGGAAAAAAGAAGCTTTCGGCTCACACTCGGGCCTCTGGCCGTTCGGGACGATCCGGGCGCGCGAAGCGCTCCCTCGGCGACGCGCAGCTGCGGAAGGCACCCCTAGGCGAGCTAGCCTCCGAGAACCGGCGAGAACATCCAAACAACAAATTCGCTCCACCACCTTAGAGGGCCTCCTAGATGGGGGTCCGAGTAGATGGGGTCGCAGGGTCGCGCCGCAATCGGCGATGCATCGGCGACGTCGGCGATGCATCGGCGCTGCCGGCGTGGAGAAAATCGGGCTCCGCACCGAGCCGCATCGGCGATGCATCAGCGATGCATCGGCGATGCGGGACGATCCTCCGACCCCATCTGCTCGGACCCCACCTGGAAGGCCTGGACGCCTTCACCCCCCCTCTCGGGAGCGCCCAGGAGGGGGGCGCCCAAGAGGGAGACTCGCAGATCATGGCCCGGGGCACGCGCACGTCCGAACTCGGCCTCGGCCAGGGCCGCATTCGGCCTGGCCGAGCCCAGCTGGCAGCAAAGTCCCGCCTGGCCGACTTCCACCTGGCGACAGCCAAACAACGCCCCCGATACCGCTGCTCCCCCCGGACCTCTCCCAGGGGTGCCTTCTGACTGGGCGAATCCGGCGGTGGCGACGAGGGCCTCCCTGGAGGCCCAAGAAGGCGGAAACGGGGGCAGCGGTACACCCTGCGAAATGCTTAAGAAATCATGGGTTAAGAAATTCATAGTCTCAGAATTTGAATACAAACCCAGAAATTCTATCAAAATCTTGGGATTTACACTGAAACGTTAAGAATAATCGAGACTCTGGCCGAAAACTTGGGTTTTCTAAATCATCGCCTGGAGTGTACCTTCACCCCCACCCTCTTGGCTCCGCCCCCTCGGGGGCGTCCCAGCGGGGGGCGTCATTTCGGGGGGTCCGCGAATCACGGCCCGAGGCGTGTGCGCGGACGACGGGGGGGTGGCCAGGGGACGTGCTGAGAGGAGAGGAGGGGGCCACGAGCCCTGACATCTGCCCAGACCGCGATGCCCGAACGCCCGTGTCATCCCCCCCTCTTGGACGCCCCTTAACGGGCGAAGAACGGTATAACATAGAATTTTTCGCCGTCGGGGACACCTGCCCCAGCGCGGCTGGAAAGTTTATACCCTTACGGTGGCACCATAGGGGTATAAACTCTCCAGCCGCCCAGGGGCAGGTGTCCCCGACGGCGGAAACATTTATTTTATACCGTTCTTCGCTCGCTGAGGGGGCCCCCCTCCGCAAGTCCCAACCATTCCCCCGGGACAAGCGTTCCCGCCGGAGCCATCGAATCGGACGTTCCCCGGGCGCCCGGTGAGCGCCCCGAGGAGCTGAAAACGCAACGCGGAAATGAAAGAAAAGCGTCCTGATTTTGCCACGACGCGCGCATGTCTGTGTCGGTACTGAAAACGACACGAAGATCGGCACAAAATCGGATCGGGATAACTCGAAATCTCTGAGAATCGGCGGGTTTGGAGGATGTATTGGGCGCCGCGGCCGCTCCAGAGCGTTCCGGAACGCTCTGAGAGCGCTCCGGAACGCTCTGGATCGATTTATCCCGATCCTGGCCCTGTTTTAGTACTTCTCCCTCCCCCCCGAGCGGGCTCGCTCGCTCCAGGCCGGCACCTCGGCGATGCATCGGCGAGGCACTGGCTAAGTCGGCGGTGCACCAGCGCCGTCGGCATGGAGAAGGTCGGGCTCCATATCGAGCCGCATCGCCAATGCATCGGCGATGCGGCACGATCCTCCGACCCCACCTACTCGGACCCTATCTGGCAGCAGGGCTCGACCTAAACGCTGTCTTATGGCTTCGTTTTGTGCTCGTCTTGCCTCGCTCTGTCTTCGCTCCGCCTCCACCGCAAAACGACATAAAAACGAAAACGGCCTACGAGATCGTCCAGCCACCGTTTCGGGCGGGCCCTGTCTGGGAGGCCTAAACCCTTGGCCCCCTTAGGAACAAGGAAAAGCGACACCACCACCACCACCACCACCACCACCACCACCAAGAACCACCAGCGGCAGGAGCTGGGGGGGGGGGCTCAGGTTGTGGGCCCCCCCCCCCCCCTCTCGCTCGAGACACCCCCGATCCCCAGCTCGGAGAAGACATCGTGGACCCCCTCGCGGAAGCTGCCCCCTCTGGTGGCGGCGGCGTCGCTCCCCCTCCCCCCGATCCCCCTCCTGCTCCTCCTCCTCCCCCTCCTCCTCCTCCTCCTCCTCCTCCTCCCCCTCCTCCCCCTCCTCCTCCCCCCTCCTCCCCTCCTCCCCCTCCTCCCCTCCTCCTCCTCCTCCTCTCTCCTCCTCCTCCTCCTCTCCTCCTCCTCCTCCTCCTCCTCCTCCTCCTCCCCCTCCTCCTCCCCTCCTCCTCCTCCTCCCTCCTCCTCCCCCCTCCTCCTCCTCCTCCCCTCCCCCTCCCCCTCCTCCCCTCCCCTCTCCCCCCCCTCCTCCTCCCCCCTCCCCCTCCCTCCTCCTCCTCCTCCTCCTCCTCCTCCTCCTCCTCCTCTCCTCCTCCTCCTCCTCCTCCTCCCCCTCCTCCTCCCCCTGCTCCTCCGCCCCGCCCGGCGGGCCCGGCCCGCTCCGCGCCTGCACCTCGGGGTTGCGGGCGACCAGGTTCCGCAGCGTGCCCGCCGCGGCCTCGCGGACGCCGGGCGCCTGGCCAGAGGGGGGGGGCAGGGGAACTGGGAAGAAGAGGGAGAGAGAGAGAGGCAAAACAACAACACAGACCGAGGAAGAGAGACAGAGAGAGAGAGAGAGCGAGAACGAGAGAGAGAGAGAGAGGATGAAGAGAGAGAGGATGGAGAGAAACTGAGGGGGAGACAGGGGGAAAGGGGAATGGTGGATGGGGGAAAGGACAGGGGGAAAGGGGGTAGGACAAGAAACGACCATATATATGTATATATATACATATATATAATATTGACGCAGCCCCTTCCCCAACACCCACTGATTTTGCATCGGTCGTTATGGTGTCCACTCGCACTGTCAATGGTCGCCTATCTGCGTTCCCTCGTCCACCTAATCGTCCTCCCTGTCTTGATCCATCCCTATTCCTCTTCATGCTTCCATCCCACATGAATTCACGAATCTGATTCTGACTACTATTATTGTTGTTACTATTGTAATTGTTATTGTTCGTATTATCCCTCATGTTTCCTTCCCCCATTGTCATCCCTATCTGGATCCATCCCCCCTCCTCCCCATATTCCTGTTCCTTCCACCCACGCGTTATCATCCTTCATCTCTGCCTGAATCCCCCCTATCGTCATCTCTGTCTCGATCCCTGCATCATCCTCGCTGTTTGTTCTACATCCCTCGCTCTCTTTCCCAACCCCCTCATCGCACCCCCAGCTGGCATCTCTCTCTCCCTCTCTTTCCCTCACTCTCTCTCTCTCTCTTTCTGTCTCTCCTTCCACGTTGTGTCTCTCGTCCTCTACATCCCGTGTGCTATCGCAACCCCTCCTGGTTCATATTGCCGCTTCTTGCCATCATGCCGCCATCGTCGAAGGAACCGCTCGAACGCAAGCGCGCCAACAACAAGAACAGAACTCGCGCGCGTGCTTTGGCCGCGTTGATGGCCAACGATCGACGGCAACGCGCTGCAGAAGACGCGCACAAACCCGCAGCTTGTGGTGGCCACTCGGCAAACAAACACGATGGGCCACCGACCCCTGCGAATTGATTTGGATGTTGGATTTCCAGGATGAAAATCCCAGATGCCCATGGCTCCACAAGGATTTGGGGGATCTGGGGGGGTCATTCCGAACGAAAATCAACTCCGCAGCCCCCAAGGCTCCGAATCACAAAACCCCATGTGAGAATTCAGAGCGCGATTTCCCCATACTTCGCGAACCCGGTGATTTCATGTACATGGGGTTTCTGGGCTGAGAATCGGGGAACCCCTATTATTTCGCATGGAATTTTGGGATTGCGTAGATTTTCTACATACAAGCGAAAATCCTCCCTGCAACCGCCCAAGGCCCCAGGGCTCGGAAACCCAAACATCCATGTGACAAGTCAAGCTGTGACTTCACCTTACTTCGCGAAACCTGTATTTTCAAAATGAATGTTGGAATTCGGAGCCCTTGGAGGCTGCAGAATTGATTTTCGGCAACTCCTCATGACATTGCATGGGCTCTGGGATCCTCATCCCAGAGATCATTAGAATCCCGTGGGAAATTCAGGGTTCGCGAAGCAAGGGGGCACCACACCTGGAGTTCATATGGATGTTTAGGATTGGGAGCCCTGGGGGGTTGCAGATCGGATGTTCGTTTGGAGGCAGAAAACCCCCCAATCCCCTAAATCCCCTTGGAATCATTGGGGCTCTGTGGTTTTCACCGTGGAAATTCAAAACATCCATGTGAAAAGACACGGTTCGGTGGCCCATCATGTTTGCATAATGGTCACCACAAATGTTGGGCTTCATTCTTCGGGGGATGGCGCTGTGTGCATCTTCTGCTGTGCTTGCCGTTGGTCGTTGGCCAGCCAGGCGGCCAGAGCGCGCGCGCGGATTCGAAAAACACATCCGCAAGCGACGGGGGGGAGGGAAGGAAGGTAGAAAGCAACAAAACAGACAAGTGAAGGAGGCAACAAGGAGGGGGAAGGAAAGGAAGGTGAGTGTGCAACATCGCAGACATGAAGACAGAGAGAGAGGGAGCGGGGGAGCGAGGCATAGGGGGAGGGAAAGGGAAATTGTCAGAGAGAAATAAAGATATAGACAAACAACAAACATGAGAGGGAGAGAGAGGGAGGGGGAGGATGATTTGCGTACGTGTTCCTTTCAATCTATGTATACCGCATAGACCACCCTTCGGGTGATAAGGAGGTGAGGGGGGGGGAGGGACCACCGTCGCACTCGATCGATCTCACTATCGATCTCACTATCGATCTCACAATCGATCTCACTATCGATCTTACAATCGATCTCACATACGGTTTCACTATCGATCTCACTATCGATATCACAATCAATCCCACAATCGATCTCACATTCGATCTCGATCTCACTATCGATATCATTATCGATCTCATTCGATCGATATCACGATCGATCTTACTCTCGATCTCACATTCGTCCCACTATCGATCTCACAATCGATATCACAATCGATCTCACAATCGATATCGCAATCGATCTCACAATCGATATCGCAGTCGATCCGACTATCGAAGTCATTATCGATCTCTGGTTCGGTCTCACTATCGATATCACAATCAATCTCACGATCGATCTCACATTCGGTTTCACTATCGATCTCACTATCGAACGCACTATCGGTCTCACTATCGATATCACACTCGGTCTCACTATCGATCTCATTACCGATATCACAAATGATCTCACAATCGATCTCACATTCGGTCTCACTATCGATCTCACTACCGAACTCACCATCATCATCAACATCATCATCATCATCATCATCATCATCATCATCATCATCATCATCATCATCATCATCATCGGGACACCGACGGGACACCGGCGGGACACCGGCGGGACACCGGCGGGACACCGCGGGGCCCTGGCCGCCCGGAAGGGAATCTTTTGGTCCGGCCGCGCCTCAGCCACACGGGACACCAGCGGGACACCGGCGGGACACCGCGGGGCCCCGGCCGCCCGGAAGGGAATCATTTGGTCTGGCCGCGCCTCAGCCACAGGAGACTTTCTCTCGCCCGCCCACGCAGCTTCGCCTCGCCCGCACGGCACGCACGAACACGAAACCGAAATCGATTTCCCGGTAGGGGGGCTCTCCGTTCCACTTCGATCTCACCCCCTCACCTCCGATACACATCGAGAGAGGGAGGAGAGCAGGATGAGCAGCAGGAGTGGAGAGCCACCGCAGCAAGCGAGCCAGTCCCTCTAAGGGGACCGGTTCACACATGTGCCTCGGTGCGGCTCTACCTGCAGAAGAACGGCTCCCGCTTTCACCATGCGAGCGCGCCACGAACAGACTCCTGCAAGCCAAGTGCTGTGGGCCCCAACTCACGTGAATGTATTCAACCGCATGTCTCGTCGCGCAAGCGTTTCTCTTGCCGCTGCGGCCGTCTGCCCTTTCGGGGCGCGTGGTCTTCGGAATCCAGCCTGGCAGGAAATACACGGGCCCTGAAGGCAACGGGTCCTGCTCCCTTGGCGTTCTCTCTGGACCGACTCTTCATCGCATCGCTAGTGGCACGGAAACTGTCTGAACTATCGCAGGGCGCCCTCACACCTCGTGGCAAGCATCTGGACGCCTGCTGCTGAAAGCTGTGCCGAAAAATGTGTTTTTTCATGTCAGCCCTGCATGCGGAATCGTTGATTGACGGCCCCATGGCCCGGGAAGGGCCCCAGGGAGCCCAAAGGTCCACAACCCCATGGAAATACCCCCAACGACCAACATTTTCAAATTGGAGAGCCCAAGCGGGAATTACAGCACAAAGAAGGGAGGGCATCGGGAAACGGAGGGGGGGAGACGGACGATGTGATGTTCGGCGGCACGGGGTGATGGGAAATGTGCTGGGGCTGGGGAACCAAAAAGTACCGATACCGCTACTCCCCGGACCTCTCCTGGGTTGCTTCCTGACCAGGATTTCGAGGCGAATCCAGCGGTGGCGACGAGGGCCTCCCAGGAGGCCCCAACAAGGGAAAACCAGGGAAGGGTAGCAGTATGGGTACCTTTCCCTCCTCTGAGGCGCGGCCGAGAGCTGGCAACCTCGTCCTCAACCCTCGTGCAAGCCGTATCGTGCGGGGGGGGGGTCGGGCACACGCTACACGTGAATTGCGGATCCGTGCGTCTTGCGGGGGGGCGCCAGATCCACGATTCGGGGAAAGTGCCCCCCGAAACAAAAGACTGGCGACGGGCCGCGCCCACTCTGCGCGGGAACAGGGCACGTCGCCAATTGGATCCGCCTGAATCCATGATTGCGCTTCCTCGAGGGTGGGGGGATCGATAGCCCGCTCTGCACCAAGCTGATGCGCTGCGCCAGGCAAGGGTGATAAAAACGAGGTGCAAGCGGCGCCTCGTCACGTGCATTACCACCGTCGCCCCAGCGGGGGCAGGCAGAGAAAGAGGGAGGGAGGGCGACACAAGCGGTGCCCCCCCCCCTGCTCCTGCAGGAGCAAATGGGTAGAGAAGTAGGGGGGGGGCAAGACGCGGGGAGAGCTGCGGAGGAGGAGGAGGAGGAGGAGGAGGAGGAGGAGGAGGAGGAGGAGGAGGAGGAGGAGGAGGAGGAGGAGGAGGAGGAGGAGGAGGAGGAGGGGGGGGAGGAGGAGGAGGAGAGAGGGGCCGAGGCCGCGGGGCGTGCGCCGGGTCTTGCAGCAGGCGCGTCAGCGGCGGGACGGCCCCCGCGTCGGCTATGGCCTGCGGGGGGGGGGGGGGCTTGCCCCGCTGAGCATCGCTGCGCCGATCCCCGGCGCGCACCGGCGTGGCCTTGGCCCGGAAGCCGGGCAAGGGCTGCCAAATCCGTGGCTGCTAAAATGGACCTCCGGGAAGTTGTCTGCGTCCTTCCGGGAAGAAGCCCGTTGACTGTTCCGCGTGCTGCGCCTCATTCCGGGAAGTTGATTTTTTCCTTCCGGGAGGGCCGCTTTAGCAGCCACGGTTTTAGCAGCCCTCGCCCAGCACCCGATTGGCCCCGGGGGTCCGACTCGGCCACCGAAGTGGTCACGCACGCCTGCTCCGTCGGGTCTCGAGGGGCCTCTCCCCACCTACGGTGGGCCTGCCGTGGGAGGGTGGCCGAGGCACAACGGCACTGTGAGGATGGGCACGGGTCAGGCGATGCTGGCCCCTCAGCCCCTCTCCCGCTCCCCACTCCTCCTCTCACGTTGCCTTCCTCCACCTTCTCGTCCTTGCTCGTTCGCTCGCTTGCTGCCGTGAGGCTGTGGTGCGAAGCCCGCGCGTCAGAAGAGCGGGTGGGAAAACGAGGGTTTGGGCATGCCAACCTCTGCACCGCCTTCGGGCAGCCTTCGGACCGTCCTCGAGCCCTCCACGTCCTCCTCCTCCCCTTCCCGCTCCTCCTCCTCGTCGTCCCCATCCCACGCAATGATATGTTCTACACATTAGGTTTTTCAATCGGTGAGGCGTACTTGAAAATTCCGCCAAATTGGATTACATGTTGCATCACCAAGCGGGAATCATTGAAACACGGATTCCCAACTTTGGAAACAACTGCATGCTAATTCTTACGTGTGATTTTGGATGGAGACCTCCTCGTTGAGAGAATGTGCGCATCGATTTCTTAGACGGGTTGGCATGCACTGTCATTGTACTTATTGTAAGGTTATCCACTGGATTCTTCTCCGAATGATATAACTACTGCCTCGAACTCGTTTGCGAACTAAGAGGTTTGCATTGTTGTTCCCTGAACTGTGCATGCTGCAAAAGGCAGGAACTATTTTAAGATAACCCGTGCATATACAACACATGACGCGAAACTTGTCCCGCCTGGGTGCCATGCCATGCCATGCCATGCCGGCGGGCCGTGCAATGCCGTGCTCATGTGCCATGTCATGCCTAAATTCCAGAATGCGAAAGATGTGCTGAGCCGTGCCATCTTCCGTGCCCGTGCCTGCATTCTCGACTGCAGAGACGAGCCGTGCCGCTCTGTCCCCGCGTGCCGCGCCCAAACTATGGGCTACGAGACAAAGACAAGGCCGTGCCGCGGCCTCCTGCCGCGCGCCGCGCAACGCCCGAACTCTAGAGAACAGAAAGCGTGCCGTCCCCGCGTGCCGTGCACCAGCTCCCGGATGCGAAAAAAGGCCCCGTAGCGTGCCGTGCCCGCGTGTCCTGCCATGCCTACGCTAGAGAGAGTGCGAGACATACCGCACCGTGCCGTGCCCACGTGCCGTGCCGTGCCCTGCTGGAATCCCAGAACGCGACAAATTTACCCTGCCGTGCCCGCCTACGTCGTGCCATGCCTACGTTCGAGGATGCGAAACATACGGCACCACGCCGTGCCTACGTGCCGTGCCGTGCCCTGCTGGAATCCCAAGGTGCGACAGAGTTGCCGTGCCGTGCCCGCGGGCGGTGCCGTGCCGTGCTCGGTGCCCGTCTGGCAACGACCACCCACGCCAGGCACGCCCCCCATTTTTGTGTGGACGCCGTGCGCCCTCGTGGACGCCGTGCGCCCTCATGCACCGCTGCAATTAAAACACTCCTGCCCGGTGTGAGATCGCTACGCTGCGTCACTGCCCGTGCGCCTTGGCGGGGGGCAACATGTGTCGTACCCTGGCAACTCGATGCTCAAACACCACACACGGAACATTATGATGACATGCGCAACTGTGACATTGAACACGCGTGAGCGCGTCACTCCTCTGCCAAACGCATGGACACTGGATAATGCTCTCGTAAGTGCTCACAGGTTAAACCATCCTTGAAATATCACGGGGCCGTCATGGGCACAAGGCTTTCCAACAGGTAATCCAGCCGGGCTCTTTGAATACGGGTAGGTTTATCAATTCAGTTGCCAGAGAACGGCGGTATCTGGATGCTGTTATGTGCCTTAGTACACACGCTTTTGGACACGAGTGGCAAAGGACGCTATCATCACCACCGTCGCCACTCCGAACAATAGCCTTACTACATGTATGAAAGCACGCAGGCGACAACAAATGTTTAATATTTGCTACAACTGCTCCCCCCCCCTCCCCCTCCCCGGCCCTCCAGCTGGTTCCCGAAATTGGTCTCCGTGTTGTAGAACGCCAGGTTGCCCAGCGCGGCCGCGGCCTCCAGGCGAACGGTGGGCGCGTCGTCCTGCAGGAGGAGCACGAGAGGCCTCCGCCGGGGCGGGCGGCGAGGAGGGAAACGGATGGACGGTTTTTTGGGGGCGTTCTGCCAGCCACGGCCGCGGGGGCAAGTGAGAGGGGACAGTAAGACGAACCCAGGACGGACCCCGAACCAGGGGAGGATAACTCGATCCTCTCCAAGATCCGGCGGTCATGGAGGATGCATCGGGCGCCGCGGCCTTCTCAGAGCGTTCCGGAACGCTCTGGGAGCGTGCTCGAACGCTCTCAAGCGGATGCACCCTCGTCATAGCCCCGCCCGGGGCAGGTCTTTTCAGCACGCGGCGGGGCTTCTCCGAAACCCTCAAGCCCTCTGGGACGCCGTCTCTGTCTTCGAAGACCCGCCATCGCTTGGACGCTCCTCCCCCGTGCATCTTTCGATGTCGTGCATGCTTTTTCCCCCCGATGATCCAAGATGCTCCTCGAGGGTCCTTGCTGGGGGAGAATACACACGAACGAGCGATACCAGGAGAAAGGTTCCAAAAGCCTTCTGTCGGGGATGGACAGACCTCCCTTTAGTAAAACGTGGTTTAGTGAAAACGACTTCGGGCCCAAAACCTGGCGGGCGCAAGCCTGGAAAATAACGGCCACGGCGCCTTCTCGAAAATCGAAAACGGACAATTCACTAATCGACGTGTCACTGTTGGGGGTTCTGTCCACCCCCGATTCTGAGAGCACCTGCCCCCTCTGCACCCCCCCCTGGGCTCGCCGTCGACGGGGGGCGGCTCGCGGGAGTTCTCTTCGCAAGAACGATCAGGGGCTATAGGCCCGACTGGGGAAGGCCATTCCAACCGGATGCGGACGGGTTCGATCCGGGATGACGACGAATTACCAGGAGTGAGGGGGCCGAACGGTCAGTCACTGTCCCTGTGCGTAGCTGAGGTGGGCTTCCGCGGCGCGGATTGCTGTCGTTGTCGTTGTCGTTGTCGTTGTCGTTGTCGTTGTTGTTGTTGTTGTTGTTGTTGTTGTTGTTGTTGTTGTTGTTGTTGTTGTTGTTGTTGTCGTGGATGTTGTTGGTGTTATTGAATTCTCAGTTCTGAAAAATGATTGGTGTTTCTCCCAACTCCCCAGTATCCGATCAGGCGTGTGAACCACAAGGAACCTCGGCAAGAGCTTCAACTCTGAGCCTAAGCAAGAGCTTCAACTCCGCTTGGGGGGGGGTCGCCAGGGTGGCTTTGCTGGGGAAGGGGGGAGGGGGGGAGGGGGGCGGTCCCTCATCTGGTGTTTTCTTTATGGTTTGCGCGTCCGGACCCCCCCTGGGGAAGGGTGGGGGGCGGCCCCACCTGGCGCTTTCTTCATGATTCGCGCATCCCCTAAATGTTTTGGAGGGGTCCCAGGGACCCCCTCAGATCTAGCCGATACCGCCCCCAGGACCCTCCCCTCGGAACCCTCCCTGGACCCCACACTCTGGGACCGCTCCGGGCACCCCCCCCAGAGTAGAAGAAAGAGGACCGGGACAATCGAGGGAGGAGGCCACGGAGCCGCGAAAATCACCAAACCCTGAGCCCCCCGAATCGGCGGCACTGGCCGGAGGCCATTACAATGTGTTGCTCCCAGATCCCCAGTAACCAGTGTATGTTTCAATGGAAGTGCTTCTCATGGGGCTAGCACCCTGTTTCAGGAAGAACTGGGTCACCAAATTGCGCCCCTGGCCCCCGACTTACAACAACAACAACGGCTCCCGCCGAACACATACTTCGTCAAACTTTATTCCCAAATCGCGCTCTCGCGTGGGACTTCCTCCCAATGTATGCAGGAATCGCATTCTCGCGTGGGACACTCTCGCAATGCATTCAGACGTCGCGCCGTCGACAATCACGAATCACGCTCTTCCTGCGGATTCCCCCACGACTTATTTGGCAATCGCACTATCGCTCGAGACTTCCCAGCGATTCATGCAACACCCACGCTTCAGCAATCCGTTTGCTCCACCTGGCCGCCCGGGCCCGTGCCCGACCCGCCGTTTAAGGTGTACCCGACCAATCTGCCCGTCTGGTTCTGCCACGTGTTTTCTGCTCCGACCCCCCTCTCCTGCTACTCCTTCCTCCCGTGCTCCATCCTCCTCCGTCCGTTTCGTCCCTTCCTTTCATCCGTCCTCTGTTTCCCTGCCGTCGGGGCTGCACGAAACACACGCCATTTACTCAGGAATCGCGCTTCCGCTTGGGACTTCCTTGCAATTGATAAAATCGTTCGTTCGGCGCTCTGGGATCGCGCTCTCGCGGGACACTTGCTTGCGACCTACGTAAAAATCGCAATCTTGCGTTGCAAATTCCCGCAATTTACTCAAGCGCCGCGCTCCCGACAATCAGGCACCCAGGAGTTGCTCTCACGCTTAGGACTTCCCCACAGCTTACCTAGGAATGACCCCCTCGCTGCCCTTCGTGGCCCCGTTGCAGCGCTTCGTGGTCCCCTCGGTGCCCCTCGCCGCCCCGTTGCAGCCCTTCGCGGCCCCCTCGCTGCCCTTCGTGGCCCCGTTGCAACGTTTCGTGGCCCCTTTGCTGCATCCCGCGGCCCCGTGGCAGCCCTTCGTGGTCCCCTGGCTGCCCTTCGTGGCCCCGTTCGGCGCTTCGTGGCCCCCTCGGTGCTCCCCGTGTCCCCATATGTGCATGCCCTTCGTGGCCCCCGCTCGTTCGCGCCCCCCCCCAGCCCCATCTTCACGCGGTTTGTGGCCGCGCCGTCGCCCTTCACGGCCCCCTCGCTGCCCTTCGTGGCCCCGTGGCTGCCCGCAGTGGACCCGCCCTTGTCCTCTGCGGCCCAATCTACGCATGCTCTTCGTGGCCCCCGCTCGTTCGCGCCCGTCGTGGCCCCATGTGCCATTCGTGGCCCCGCTGTCGCTCTTCGTGGCCCCCTCGCTGCCCTACGCGGCCCCGTTGGTACACTCAGTGGCCCCGTCGTTGCCCCCTGCGGCCCCGCACTATCTGCCTTTCGTAGCCCCCGCTCGTTCGCGCCTTTCGTGGCCCCGTACGCATGCCTTTCGTGGCCCCGCCGATGCCCTTCGTGGCCCACTTGCTACCCTTCTTGGCCCCACCGCTGCCCTTCGTGGCCCCGCGTTCGCTCTCGCTCTCGCTCCCGCTTGCGCTCGTTATCGTCGTCGTCGTCATCGTGGTCGGTCCCCTGTCCGTCGCTCTTGGGGTCGGGCTGCCGCCGGTCAACGCTGCCGCTGGCCAGGCCGACGGTCCGCGGCCGACCCGCCGCTCGCCGGGGCCTGGCCTGCAGGGAATAAAGATGGACCCCCGAAAGGGGCACGAGCAAAGACGAAGAGGGCGGGTATCGAGGGTTTGGGAAATACGCGTTGAATTACACTCGAGTTACTCGAGTAGACAAGAGCGAACAATCATACAGTGATTGTTGTTGAACTCTCCCATATGAAGAATAATTATGGTTGATCCCCCAGTCCCGGTATCCTATGTGCGTTACACTTGGAGTGCCCCTCCTGGGGATTGCACCCGGTGTTTCATCGGGGAAACTATTCCTGCTCAAACTGCGCCCCTGTCCCCCGAACTGCAACAACAACGGCTCCCGCCTGCTCGCAATGTATTGAAGAATCGCGCTCTCACTCGGGACTTCTTCACAATGTCTTTGCGATTCGCGCTCTCGCGTTGGACTTCCTCGCAATTAATTCAGACGATGCGCCCTCGGCACTCAAGAATTACGCTCTCGCGACCCGCCCGCAACCAATCCGCGACCCAAAGGCGACCCACCGCGCGACCCGCCCGCGACCAAACCGGGACCCACCCGCGTTCCACACGCGCCTCTCCCGCGACCCACCCGCAACCCACACGTCCCAACTGCGACCCACCCGCGACCCAGGCCGCGACCCACCAGCGACTCGCCCGCGAACCACCCGCAACCCACCCGCGACCCACGCCCGCGACCCACTCGCGACTCGCCCGCGATCCACCCGCGACCCACCCCGCGCCCGCCCCTTCACTCTTATCCGCAACTGCGGGGTGCTGTATATCCGATGAATGGAGATCAGGCGGCAGTGAGCGGGCTCCAAGGCAGTTTTCGACCACGGATGTGCCAGCGCCGATGCAGAATTCAGCCTTTCAAGTTTCGCATCCGAGCGTGGGTGAGAAAGGAGAGGGGGAAAGCAGAGCAGCGCCAGCAGCGACGAGAGGGGGAGACACAGGCGGAGGATGCAATCGCTCAGAGGGCCTAAGAGCCCGTGAGGGGGACGCTACTGCACCGAGGGAGGAGGAGGGAGTGGGGGATACGGGGGGGGGGATGAGGGGAAACGACATCCGCTGCATAACCTGGGGGGCTCCGGGCCTCTGGTAGCCCCTGGCGATTCCCGCGGCGGGATGCGGGAAGGGGGGGGAGAGAGGGGCAGGGGAGGGAAGGCCAGGGAAGGCCTCCCAATCCATACCCTTCCCCCCCTTAGCTGCTAACTGAAACTTTGCAGCAGGAAGAGGAGGAGGATAAGGAGGGGGAGGAGGAGGGAGGAGGAGGGAGGAGGGAGGAGGAAGGAGGGATGAGGGAGGAGGGAGGTTGATGATGCGACGCTCGGCTTCGCAAGGTTGCGTGCTCGCACAGCATGGCAAGCCGGTGGGTGGCGCAAAGGACCTCACGAGGATCCACCACCTACGCCACCACCAGCTTAGCCCCCAAAGGTGAATCAATCAGGGTCCCGAGCCACTGAGGGATCCCCGAAGAAGGCGCCTCTGAGAGTGCCTCCTGCGCTCCAAGGAGCTCTGCGTCCATGCTCTTGCCTGGCGCGCTCCGCGCGCCGAGCCTTGGCTGCAGCTCGGTTGGACTCGATGCGGGCACGCTGGGCCTCGCTCAAGGCAGAGGGGACGACAAACGACGTCAACGGCGTCGGAGGAGGCGGAAAGGGAAGGGAGGTGTGTGGAGGGCCAAAATGGGCGCCTTGGGCAAAGGCAAAAGCCTCTGCCTCCTCGGTAGGCGTTGCCTGCATATCTAGGTATTGTTGCTCCTGTTTGGCTTCGCTGACATTCTGCTGAGCCATCTCGCTGGGAGCTGTGTCAGCGGAGAACCTATGCTTCTCAAGGTCAGCTCGCTTGCACTTCTGTGCCTGGGCTCCAAAGTCCGACGGAACCAACGGAGGAGGGAGGAGGGAGGAGGGAGGAGGGAGGAGGGAGGAGGAGGGAGGAGGGAGGAGGAGGAGGAGGAGGAGGAGGAGGAGGAGGAGGAGGAGGAGGAGGAGGAGGAGGAGGAGGAGGAGGAAGATATTCGCCCATGGGACACACGAGGCCCCCGAGCTGTCCCTGCCACCCGCGGCAAGCGTCGCCGGAAGCATGGAAGTACGGTCGAGACCCAAGCAAGCGCGGGCTTACGAGCACGGGGCCCCTCGCAGGAGGTCCAAGGCCCCGTGGAGACAGAAGGCCGAGGGAGGGCATCTGGAAAGGGAGGAGGGAGACGGAAGAGGTGCGGCATGGGCTGACAGGGGGCGCGTTTTGCGTGGTGCGGGGGTGACATATTGAGAGAGAGAGAGAGACAGAGCTAGAACGAGAAAGCGAGAGAGCGCGAGAGAGAGAGAGAGAACGTAAGAGAAAGAGAGAGAGAGAGAGAGAGAGCAAACCAGACAGACAGACAGACACACGTGCAAGCTTCCCCGACAGATCTCGCGCACAAAAGCCACGCTGCGGGCACGCTTGCCACACTCGTCGGCGAGGCGCACTCTTATCAAAGAATGTCAAACGCACAGGGAAGACGCGGAAAAACATACAGACCACGAAGAGACAACCGCGTCGAGGCCGCATGTTGCGGGCAATCATCTAAGCGTTCAAAGAGAAAGAGAGAGAGCGAGAGGTCGACAGAGAGAGAGAGAGAGAACGAGACAGAGAGAGAGAGAGATAGAGCGCGATAGAGAGAGAGAGAGAGAAAGAGACAGAGAGAGGGATATATCTATATATATATATATATAGAGAGAGAGAGAGAGAGAGAGAGAGAGAGAGAAAGCGAGAGAGAGAGAGAGAGTAGTGCTAGAACCAATGCGCGAACTTAAATTCTAGACGAAGTAGCGGCGGAGAATGCTGCGTATCGGCGGAACCTGCTGCAGCAACGCACGTTACGCCGAACTGTCTTGCACGACTCCAGGGTAGCCATGGAAGCCTCGTGGGCTGTCTCGGGCCTTTGTTCAGCTGTTTTCGGGCCATCGGGGGAACTGTTTGGGAATAGATGGGCGAGTTTGGGGGCATCTGGGTCAGCCTTGGGCGGTTGGGGATTCGGGAAGGTGCGAGCACCCATGCGTGCCAACACCACTGCTGGAAATGCGGCGGCGACGGCGTCGAGTGCGAGGAGAAGGGGAGACGGGGGAAGCGGGACGGGGATGTGGAACAGGAGAAGGAGGAGGAGGAGGAGGAGCAAGGAGGAGCAAGAAGAAAGGAGAGAGACAGCGAGAGAAAGAGAGAGAGAGAGAGAGAAAAAAAGAGAGACAAACAATACATCGTGAAGAAAAGCAAACAGCATAAACATAAACATCTAGTCTTCCGCGCGGATTTCTTGGATCTGCGCTGGGCCCCCCTCCCTGGCGCCAGGGGCGGCGCCGGAGGCGCCGCCGCGGGGGCCCAACGGCGACACAGGAATTCCCGCGCGGAGCGCCAACAGTTTATGAGTGTGGCGTTCTTTCTTCCTCGATCGACGGGGAGCTGGAGACGCAGCCTCTAGCATCAGGTCGGGCATGTCCCCCAACAGGCGGAGTTAGGAAGGAAAATCAAAACATAGTCAAAACACACGCTAGGATAGTCAAACGTAGCAGAACATTCGCCAGCCCTTTTTTAAACTACTTTTGAAGGTTCCTCCTGTAGAGGGACGTGCCCGACTCAACGCTGGGCACAGGCCAATGAATGGAGCCGAGCCGTCCCCGGGAGGGTTCCCCAGGAAGCCCCCCTGGCGGCGCCCCTCGTGTGAGGCCCAGGAGGCTCCCGCACGAAGGGGGCCCAGGGACACACAGAGATCCACAGGCACAAATCCCAGGGCGCCCCATAGTTTCTTGAGTTTCGCAAGTTCTCCCACATGTTCACAGATGTTCAACATATTTTCACGAGTTTCTCATGTTTCTCGAGTTAACCCCCCACTCCGAATACTCTCCTACATTTTTTTCATGGGGGTCGACGATTCGTTGTGCCTGTGTTTTGTTTCCCCTCCTGACCCTGGACTTCACGGTGGTGCGAAAGGCAACGGACACCTTGGGCCAGGACGACTTCTACCAGCACCCGATCTGGGCCTCGTCCAGGCCAATTGAAGACCGCCAGGGCCTACCTGTCAGCCCCGGGGACGTCCTGAGCGAGGATCGCCTCTTCAAAGGACATCCGACCTGGTCCGCCCAAACGCCAAAGTGGAGCGCACGCCGCCATGGACTACAGATCCGTGGATCTGGCGCGTGGGCGCCAGGTGCACGAATCGTGGCAGCACTATCCGAACCATGCGACCAGTGGCGCCCGATTTGGCGACGGAGCGCGCCAGTTCTGCATGGAACTGGGACCGATCCGTGTGCTCGATGCTCGAATGGCGCGTCCAGAGAGGCCGTCCCCTCCCGTTCCCCTGCGATCTCCAGAGTGTCCGATGAGGCGCTGCCCGCCTGATCGCGCCAGCCCGCGCGATCGCCACCTGGTTGTCGGCATTGTTGGTGGCGAGCATACGTAGCGCCCCTGGGGAAGGTCAGCCGACGCTGCTGTTATGCGGGCGGGAAGGCGCGGAGGATTGTTTCACGGAGACGCGTGCACGAATGACAAGATATAAGTGGCTCAGCCTAGCCCTACCGGCAGTAAAGGTCTTGGCCTTGGCTCAGTGGTCTGGCCAGTTGCCCTTCTCAATCTCATCTTGGCAAGACGCGGAGGAGGGCGACGGTACGAAGGAAGAGTCAGACGATCTGGAGAGGCGGAAGTCGCTGGATGAGCCGAGGGAGGGTCGGAGGTGGAGGCGAAGGCAAAGGAGGAATGGGATTGGAATGCAGAGACGGAGGCGGAAGCAGGGGAGGGAGCAGGGCGGAGGCGAGGGAGAAAAGGGACGGTCAGTGACGGAATGGAGAGGAGAATAGGTGAGGAATCGGAGAAGATTGAGCAGGATCCGGACAGGACAGGAAGAGAGAAGGGGACGGCGACGGTGCGCTGCATCGACATGTACCCCGGCAGAACGAGCCGAACCTTGCCAAATTAGACAGCAAAAGACGCAAAACACTCGCGGTCAAACAAACTGGTCAGAAAAACAAGCCGTCAAACCGGTCACGAGCAGTTCGTTAGACAGCGGTCAAACAGACCAGGCCTTCCCAGGTCGAGTTTCGCAACGAACGAGGCGCGGCGGTGTCCTTCGACCTCTCACGCCGTGCGCTGGAGATGACAAGTCCCTGGCCCAGACCACGCATCGCAAGCGCGGGTATAGTTGTGCCCCTGCGGGTGGACAGTGCGAGCAAGAGGTCGAGCCGAGATACCCTGAGCACGCCGTACGCATCATCACGCGCAACAAAAGCGTTGCCAACGCATCACGCAAACAAGGACAGGTCGGAAATGCTCGAAGAACAAATCGATCATCCGCCTGAAAACTTGACTGCGCTGTCTGCTCATCGGGGATCTGCTGACCCGGGTCAATCCAGACCCGGGTCAGTCGGGCCTTGCAGAATCCTGCAGAATCCTGCGAGATCCTGCACCCAAACCCGAATCAATGCGAAGGATTCTGCAAGACCCTGCAGGATCCTGCACCCACGCCTGGGTCAAGGCGACCCTGGCCCTGCACGATCCTGCAAGATCGGGCGCCCTGGCTGACCCCCGTTTGCATCGGCGGTGGACAAACCTCCCTTTAGTAGATCTCCCCTTAGTGAAAACGGCCTGGGACCGAAACCAACGGACCTGGACCCGCAAACATGACGGCCGCGACGCCCTCTCGCGAACCGAAAACGGCCAATTCCTCAATCGACGTGTCAGGGTAGGAGGTCTGTCCATCCCCGATTGCATTGACGCCCGTCTCTTGAGCACCGAGCTCACCCGGGGCCACCCCCCCTCCGCGCGGGACCGCCCTGGTGGCGGGCAGCCCGAGGCGCCCGCCCGACTGCACGGCCCTCCGGCCCATCCTCCCACCGCGCCCCACACCGCACTGCAGCACGGAAGAGCGCAGCTTGGGAGGCAGGCGCCCGGTGCCGGCCTGCCGCGAGCTCGCGGTTCAGCGCCGCCTCCGCCCCCAGCAGCCTGGCGGCTCGGCGGCGTGGGACCACGTGAGGCGGGCACGCAGGCCCGAGCAAAGAACTGCCCGTGGAACGCTTGGCAGCACCCACAGGGTCGAGGATGCATCTGGAGGCCCCGCAGAGGGGCGCTCCTCTGACCCCCCAAAAAGGAGCAGGAACGTGGCCACAGTCCTAACTGCGTGTGGCAGCACGCGGAGGGGGAGGTCTGGTCCCATCTGCGTGGGGCGGCGCTCCGCTTGGATCCCCCGGGCTCGCAGGACAAGTACGATCAGATTCGCGTCTGCACGCTCGGCAACGCCCGAGGTGGCGAGGTCGCTCCCAGGGCGACGAGCCGCCTCAAACCACGCCTGGGGGCATCTTGGCGGGCCCTTGGGGGGCCTCGAGGGCCCTCTGAGATCGACTCGGAGCGTCTCGGGGTCCTTCGGGGACTCTCCTGGCCGTTTCGGCTGCTCTGCGCGCCCTCTTACGCCGCCTCGAAGCTCCCTGGGGCTGCCTGAGGCCCCACCACTGGCCCCCTTGGGCATTTGTGAATTTCGTGGGGCCGTGCTCTGGCACCACTTCGTCATCTTGGGGCAATTTTGCAGAGCTCCCGACGCCAACTTAGGCCGACACGCATCCGAATGAAACAAGCTACGATTTTTCTTGTTTTGGCTTGTCTGGAGCTGTCTTCTTCGTGCCTTTTGGAGCCTCCCTTTGGGGCCCCTCGTGGGCATGCTGGCGCCTCTTTGGGTACATCACAACTTTTTCTTCCGGACAGGGTCTGTCACAACTACTCTGGGAATATCACAGCCCCTTTGGGTATTTCACAGCTTCTGTGGCTCAGGCCCAGGGTTCTCGTTGTGTGAACAGGCGTCTGGCACCCGACCACGGGGGGCTAGCACGTTGAGGAGGGCCCTGGCACGTAGCAACAGATGCGCGGAGGAGGGTACAGTGGGAGCTCGACCACAAGAAACCTTCCACGAGAAACCCAACCCTGAGACCCCAGGACGTCCATGGATTCTTGGTGTGGGAGCGTCACGCTTCCCACAGCATAACCATCAAAACCCAAGAAACCCAGGGCACCCTGGAGGCAAGCAGGATGTTTCTTGGCAAGGGTTTCCACTGTATCCAGCATGCGTCTCGTCACACATCCGTTTGGCGTGTGCTTTCACGTGCTCTCGGCGCCAAAGAGGCCACCAGTGGGGCATGTGGGGTCTGGTTTGTCACGCGTAGACTTGCGCGGAATGGGGGTACTCAACATGTGCCTGGCGCATGCTGCCTGGCATGTATGCTCACGTGCTTTCGACGCAACGAAGACCACAAGCGGGGCATCGAACATGTGTGCGTCCAATTCCTTATGCTTGATAAACTCGTGTCAGGAGGGGGGAACCCGTATGCGTATGGTGCAGGCGCATGTGGCATGTGGTTTAACATGTTTGTCGGTGCCAAGCGGGCCGCACGTGGGGCATCTACCAGGCGGGCCTCGCAATCTTTATGAGGAACAAAACCGTGTGCGGAGGGGGGTCTCCGACATGCGTTTGGCGCATGCGCATTTGGCACGTGCTTCCACCTGTTCTCGGCGTCAAAGGAAGGGGGCACATGATGTGGGGCTTCCTAAATTTGGGTGTCGGAGTCTCCACGCGTGCAAAAAGCGTGTGGAAGGGAGGGATCGGACATGCGCCTGTCGCATGCGTATTTGGCATGTGTGTTTCACATGTTCTGGGCGACCATCGGGCCACACATGGTGCATGCAACATGTGGGCGTCGAACTAGTCACGCGGAAACTTACGTGTGCGGAGGCAGGGTGTCAAATATGGGCCTGGCGCCAAAGCACCTGGCAAGTGGTTTCAAGTGCTTTCGGCGCCAAAGGTGCCACAGTTGTGGCATCCATTATGTGGGCGTCGAGTTCTTCACGTGTAAAAGTACATGTGAGGATCGGGGGTCCAACATGCGTATGGCGCATGCGCATTTGGCAAATGGTGCCGCGTGTTCTCGGCGCCAGAAGCGCCACGTGTGGGGCATCCACCGTGCAGGGCGTCGGATTCTTTACGCGAGAGATGTGCGGAGGGGGGGGTCGAACATGCATCTTGCGTATGTGCTTTCGGTTCTTGTTTTCACGTGTGCAGTCGCCACGAGGGAACCAACATGTGGACGAAACGGAGGACAGGTGACGAGGAAAAGGAGGAGGAGGAGGAGGGAGGCCTAGGATGCTCCTAGGGACACGTCGCATACGGTCTCCGGCGAACGACAAGGCCCACGCTAGCGCACGCAAAATAGCATATCATATAATACAGCATCGAGGCGTGGAACAGAACGGCGCATCCATGATGCGCTGCACGCCACCATGTGGTCTGACATAAATGTTGTGATCCCGTCAGTTCTCGCCGTCATCCTGGCAGGGCGTCGGCTGTCCGCTGGGGAGCGGGGAAGAGTGTGGAGGGAGACGGACCGCTGAGCCCAAGGACGCGCCAATGCGACAGCCCACATCCGAGCTACCCGACGCCTGCTCACCAGAGAATCCCCACCAGGACGGCCCGAAGAAGAGGGCCCCCCGAAGGGCCCCGAGAGCCCCAGAGGGGAGGAACAACACGAGGATGAGGAGAAAGACGTGGACGAGGAGAACCCTTCTTCCCCCTCCCCTCCCCGACCCCGCCCCCTCCGTCCCCCCTCGGGGCTCCCCCAGTCGAGAAGTCCCCGACCCGACAGATACATACATGCCGGAGGAGCCCCCGGTCGGATTCCAGGTTGCAGGTTTGCCGGCGGCCCGCTCGGATTTCAACATGGAAATGGGGTTCTCATAGGGAGGGGGTTCCCGCCTGAGGCTTCCTCGAAATTCACTCAGAGACGAGGCTCCCGCTTGACACTTCCTCCATATTCAAGCCGCAGGAGTCCAAAAGTGTCGACAACTACAGGTTTTCCATGACCCGCTCGGATTATCAACATGAAGCACAGCACCCATATGGAGGGGGGTCCTGCCTGAGACTTCCCCGCAATTCACTCGCAGACGAGGCTCCCGCCTGAGACTTCCCTCAACATTAAATACTGAGGAGCCCAAACAAAGACGGCAGATACAAGTTTCTGATGGCCCGTTCGGATAAAAAATGGCGTGCGGGACCCATAGGCAGGGCGCTCCCGCCTGAACCTTCCCCGCAAGTCACTCACATACAAGACTCCCGCCTTGATACTTCCTCCGTATCCAAGCCGCAGGAGTCCAAACGTGTCGACACCTACAAGTTTCTGATTGCCCGCTCGGATTGAAAACATGAAGCGCGGGACCCATAGGCAGGGGGTTCCTGCCTGGAACTTCCTCGAAATTCACTCACAGACGAGGCTCCCGCCTGAGACTTCCTCAAGATTCAAGCCCGAGGAGCCCCAAAAAGACGACAGGTACAGGTTTCCGATGGCCCGCTCGGATTACAAACATGAGGTGCGGGACCCATAGGCAGAGGGCTCCCGCCTGAGACTTCCCGCAATTCACTCACAGACGAGGCTCCCGCCTGATACTTCCTCCAGTGTGGGTGTGAGTGGGTGAGCGAGCGAATGAATGAATGAATAAGCGAATGAGAAAGTACAGTACAGTACAATACGGTACAGTACAGTAGGGGCGGTATCAGCCCGGGAACTAAAAGACCAAAGACTACAGACTATAGAAAGCTCAACGAGAGCAGCGCTGCGCCGCCAGCTTGACGCCATCGTGCCATCGCGTAGCAGCAACGAAGCCGCGGGACGCACGAGTACGAGTGCTGATGGGCCTGTTTTCCACCACCACCACCATAAGTTGGACGGGGGGAAGGAAGAGGAGGAGGAGGAGGAGGAGGAGGAGGAGGAGGAGGAGGAGGAGGAGGAGGAGGAGGAGGAGGAGGAAAAAGAGGAGGAAGAGGAGGAGGAGGAGGACCCCCTCCCCCTCCAACTTATGGTGGCGGTGGTGGAAAACAGGCCCATCAAGTGCGGCTCTCTGAACCAACACTGTTGTACAACCCGCCACACCTCGAGCCATTTGTCATCTTGGAACTGTAAGAGAATAGCGGCCCGTGGATTGTGACTCCGGGGCCTCTGCGAGTGCCCCTTCCGATGCACCGCTCGCTGGCAACGCTTCGCGCTCCCACCGGCCCCTCTGCTCCAAAATGGCTGCGGCCTGCCTGCTCCTCCTTCTTACGCATTCGGCCGGGCCCTCGTGTGCGCGAGGAGGTACCCGATGATGATGATGGTGCTGCTGATGATGATGATGACGATGATGATGATGATCATGATGACGATGATGATGAATGAGTAAATGAGCGATGATGATGACGGTGATGATGCTGCTGCTGCTGCTGATGTTGTTGTTGTTGTTGTTGATGATGATGATGATGATGATGATGATGATGATGATGATGATGATGATGATGATGATGATGATGATGATGATGATGATGATGATGATGATGATGTGTGTGAGTAAGTGGGTGGGTAGGTGGGTGAGTGAGTGTGTGAGTGCGTGAGTGAGTGAGTGAGTGAGTGAGTGGGTCGGTGAGTGAGTGATTGATTGAGTGAGTGAGTGAGTGAGTGGATATTGATGCTGATGACGATGATGATGGTGACGATGACGATGATGATGATGACGACGACGATGATGATGTTGTTGATGATGACGATGACGATGACGATGACGATGACGATGACGATGATGATGATGATGATGATGATGATGATGGTGATGATGATGAATGTGCGAGTGAGTAAATGAATGCGCGAAGAAGAAGAGGGAACTGAAGGTGACTGCGCGGTGTGCAGAGAAAACAAGAACCCCACTGAGGAGGTGGGGAGCAAGAACCCAACACCACAACATGGTCGGTAAAAAATTGCACCCTGGCAAAAAAAAACGAAAAGATCATATGCATCATTTTCTGCCATATGCACCGCGTGTGGGCGACCGAATCGTCCGTATTCTCACCGGCTGTGCCATAAGTTACGCTCAACCCAATCGCACGTTGCTTCAGCGGCTGCGCCCTAGGTTGCACCCTGGGTTGCGCCGGAATCCCTGCGAGCCACCAAATCCTCTATGGACGCATCGGGTATGCGCCGAACGTTCAATCATCTATTGCGCCACACATTGCGCCAGACAACCTCGCCATCAACCGAATCGTCCGTTGCCACAACGAGTGCACCATTCAACCGAATCATCCGTTGCTTCTGTGGGTGTACCATTGCGGCGCAGTTGTTTCTCCATAGTTGGGTTGCGCCACGCTCTCCCAGCAATCAACCAAATCGTGCGTTTCCTTACCAAGTGTGCTCGTGCAACATGTGTGTCACCACACATTGCGCCATCCCCCGCCCTGAATCCAATCTTCTGCTGTCTCATCCCGTGTGCCTTCTCAACAGCTGAATGAGCCTTTACAGCGTACCTGCTTGGTGAACCTGTGTAGCCAAGGGCGACTTGGAAGCTAGATGCCGCACGTGTAAGTGGTTCCATGATCTTGTCGATTCTGTCCAAGGCGCGGGCGAGGGGACAAAGGGTTCCCATGATAGATAGCGTGTGACCCCGGGATCGCTACCACCTGCACTCTGGACTCCGTCGCTGCAAATGGAAAGAACGTTCACGAGGCGGGGCTGGGCTGACCCTGGGCAAACTTATCCGTGGCCACGGCCCCCTGACGATGACCCCCTCGACACATTCAGACCATGCCCCCCGACGACGGTTGAGAGCCGCACAGATATTTAGCTAGTAGGCTATACGGGCCTTTGCCGAGAACATGGCGTACATACTTTGTTGAACCTCTCAGGCTCGCGAACCTGCCCCGAATGCTGCCCACTAAGCTGTCAACCTCTCAGACTCGCGAACAGAATAATCACCACGGTCATGCCCCTGCCCCCGAACGGTGCCCTGCGCCGACGACGATGATTGGTGGCCCCCAAACCAGGTGGTGAGACACCCGTTGGTGACCTGAAATCCGAAAAACATATTTTTTAGGTTTGGGGGCACAGGGTCACCACCGGGTTTCGTGATTCCCGGGGCCACCCGCGCTCGAGACATCCTCGAAACACCACCCGAGTTCCAAAACCCGGTGGTGACACGAATTCGCCCCAGACTCACCACCGGGTGTCCTCACCACTACGTTTGGGGACCCCCGAATGATGACCGCGACGATTGCGACGACGACCGGGACGACAGCAACGGCGATGACACCGGTGCCTCACCAGCGGCGCCACTGCACCGGCCCTCGCGATGGCCAGCTGCTTCTCGTGGTGGTTCGGGGACGTCTCCCCCGCCAGGTTGCCCAGAGCGGCCGCCGCCTCCGCCTGGCGCGAGAGAGGGGGCCGCGGCCTCGAGGAGGAGGAGGAGGAGGAGGAGGAGGAGGAGGAGGAGGAGGAGGAGGAGGAGGAGGAGGAGGAGGAGGAGGAGGAGGGGGCGCGAGAGAGGGGGCCACGGCGCGCGGCCGCTGCTCGATGTGCGGGCGCGTTCGGCAGCGCGAGGCGCGGAGCCACAAGCGGGTGCAGAGTCCGCCTCCGCCCCCAGACCCCCCCGCCTCGCCCCCCGTCCCCCATGCCTAGGGGGACAGCAAACCTGCCTCGCTTTTGACCACCCCCGCTTCCAAGAGATACCAACCGATGCCAACTTGCAGCCTGTGCTGGTCAGGCCGCTCGACGAGGAGGCGCGTGGTATGGCCTGGTTTTGCCTGGAAGCGAAAGCGGGGTAGGTAATTCACGCTCTGAATGCCGCCGCTCTCCCTTCCCCCGCTCCACAAGCACACAGTGTGAGCACCGCTTCCCCCTCTCCCGCGCGAAGGCGGCCGAAGAGCAGTCCACCCTCCTCCACGTACTGCTTTTTTCACCCACGGGGATGGTGCCGAGCTGTTTTTCTTTGCGGACGTGCCTTCCAAACGTTGGGGTCTGTTTGGGAGATCTACGTCCGCCATGACACGCGTCCGCGGATAGAGAAACAACATCAGCGCAGTGGGAAGGGCCGGGTGGGAGGGGTCGGATATGTCAGGTAAGACGCCAACTTGTCGCTTACCCCGCTCACCCCCCTCTCCTTCCGTCCCTCCCCGCGCCTCCCTCCCTCGCTCCACCGCTCCACCCTCCCACCCTCCCGCTCTCCGTTCTGCAGCTGCTGCTCCTGCTCGTCGCCCTCCTCCTCCTCATCCTCCTCGATCTGGGGGGACGGGAAGAGATGGGAGTTGGGAAGGGGTGGGGACGGGGGGAGGGGGAGGGGAGGAGAAGGGAGGGCAGAGGGGACTGGGGGGAAGATGCGGAGGGGGGGAGATGAGAAAAGGGGTGAGGTGGGGAGGAGAGGGGAAGGGCAGGAGAGGAGAGGGAAGAGGCAGAGAAATCATCCCTCGCCAAATGCATCGCTACCCCTTCCAATGGGGTCGAGGAAAACAACATGTTGCACTTCCGTTGTTGGCTTCGCTTGGGCAGGAGCGCGGCCCTGAATACATTGCGAAGACATGTCCAGCGGAAGCCATTGACGCTATTGCTGTTGTTGCTGTTGCTGTTGCTGTTGTTATTAGTGTGCTCGTTGTTGTTGGCAGAGGCCCAGCCACAACAAGGGTTCCTGCTCGATACGTCCTCACGATCTACTCCGAACTCAAGAACGGCGCCCTCGCTCGAGACTTTCCCGTAATTCAGGCAAGTTGGTGGAGGCCCTGACACGGCGACAAAAGCTCCCGTTCGATATTTGTCCATCTGTATTCCGAGAGCCCCTGGCCAGAGAAGCCGCCGAACTCAGGAACGGCGCTCTCGCTCGAGACTTCTTCGCACTTCAGTCAGTGGCCGAAATGAAGATATTCCCCCCGAAAAAGGGTGCGATCGAAAACACAATGGGCGGGTATCGAGGGTTGGGGTATACAGAATACAAGGCACGCGTGCCAGTAAGAGCGATCAGTCTTAAACTGATTGTTGTTGTTGTTGTTGTTGTTGTAATGGTGGTGGTTGTCGTTGTTGCCGGGGGCCAACATCCCACATTTGGAACGAAACCCGCGCTCGAGCGTGAACCTCGCTTTCAACGAACATGCAGCCCACGCTCGAGCGAGAGCGCTGCGTCAATCTTCCGTATACCAACAACATTTTTGTTGTGAACATGTGCTTCCAACAACTATGACCAACACATAAACATCCGGGCACTGTAATCCCACTTCGCCCACGCCAACAGGGCTAGAAGTGGATTCTAAAGTGGGTTATCGAGTGGCCTTCGGCCCAGCCCGCCGCCGTGCCTTGGTTGGTTTTAGGTCAGTGGCCCTTTGGGGCCCTATTGGCCCGTCCTTGGGCCCTGGGGCCCGAAGAAATCATGCGACAAAACGCCCCAATCGCGCCAGGAGTCCCGGGATATTTGAGCCAACAACCTCTGCATCAACTTGGATGCCAACATGGGGTATAACTTGATCCGAAATCTCGTCATTGCTTCAAAACGGGGTGCCGGGAACCCGATCCTTTTCCCCAGGACCGGCTTTGCCTCCCGAGTTGTGTGCTGACGTTCCTGGGGTTCGAAGAGGGCCCCCAAGCCGAAAGAGGCGAAGCACATCCGCATTGTCCTTTTCGTGCGCTGCCTGGATCACCGCGCGGGTTGCTGAGGGGATCGGGGAGTCCGAGGTTGATGCCAAGGTGGGTTATAGTTGTATCTGGTCAGACCTAGCGGGTTGCAAGAACCATAATTATGTGGGGTGATTGGATGTCTCCGCTGAGTGGGCCCCTAAGCCACCTAGCCCACTGGATGCCAAGGCGGGTTATCTAGTGGCCGTCGGCCCATCCCGCCCCAGGCTTCTCGGGGCTCTCTTGGCCAATCTTCGGGCCCTTTTGGGCCCGAGACAAGAATGCGGGAATGCACCCCACCAGGCGCGAAAGGAGCCCTGGGAGATGTGAAGGTGTTGAGTCGGGGCCCCTTAACATATCCTCAGGATTGAGGGCTGAGGCTTAGGGGATTGAGCAAGGGACCTGAGGACACTCCAACTCGTGCCTCGCAAACACGGTGGCGAATCTCTGGCCAAACCTAGCTTCTGGTAGGTTGCATGTACCCAGAGCGGCTCAGGGGGGCACATCTTCGCTCAGTGGGCGAAGCCCACTTAGCGAAGATGTCGAATCACCCTAAGCCACTTATTGCACTCGTAACCCACATATCAGAGTGAGGGGTCCGAAAGGTCTTAACTTATCTCTGGGTGCGTGGGAGATGGGATTCCATGGCCCGGATTATGTTTGTTTGTTGGTGCTGTTGTTGTCGTCGCGCCCTTCGCGCGCCCCGCGCGACTCTCCCTGCGAACCGCCCCGCGACCCACCCGCGACCCACCCGCGACCCACCCACGACCCACCCCGCGCCCGCCCCCTCACGCTTCTATCCGCAGTTGTGGGGGGCCACGTGAGCTGCAGCTAGGTCTGGCCAGGTGAAGCCCACATCCACCCGTAGGCCCCCCTGTTCCCTTCCCAGCCCCCGCGGTGCCCCAAGCGTGGCACCTCGGCGACTCGGGCCGTCGTCGCGTGTGGATGCCGATGCGCCGCCGAGCGCCGTCGGGCCACCGCTGGGCTGGCGAGGGGAAGACTACGGGGACAATCCAAGAATAGCGTGGACTGGCACACCGGGCCGAGTCAGTGACTACCTACCAGACCACCCCAACCCAACCCGGAGACCCGGATTGGACCCCAATTTCGGGTTGGGGCGGTACGGATCCCATGTGTTTTTCAACGTTCCCCGACCCCCCCCACTGGAAATCGAGGATCAATTGGGGGCTTCGGGTTGGAGTGGGGTGATTTGGTGGGTGGCGAATCAGGGCAGGAGAAGAGAGCTGTCACAGCGTGAGGCAAACGGAGGCGCGGGAGCGGACTCGCGTCAGGGGCGAATGGCAGTCGGAAGCGCGGCGTGCTCCCCAGCAGACGCGGGCGTGGGAAGGTGGCAAAGTGCGCAGAACCCTACATTCAAGGATAAGAGCGGGGGGGCGGACGCGGGGCGGGTCGCGGGTGGGTCGCCGGTAGGCCGGGAGTTGGCTCGCGGGGTGGGTCGCGGGCGAGGATGACGACTGGGTTCCGCATGCCTCATAAGACGGAAAACCTTGGAGGTCTCGCGCGGCAACTTGAAATCCAATTCGCGTCGGATCCACGCCGAAGCATCGCCGCGCGAACGTCGTCCCGTCTCTAACGGGGCGGATGCGTGGACTAGCTCATACAACTGTTGCGCTCCACGCGACGCCTCCAAAATTCCCTCGTAGGGGAAAGCCCCAAACCTCAAACGCATACTGCAGAAAGATTCGGAACGGAGGTTTCGTCGCTTCCGCCCCCTGCAGGGGAGCTCTCTCCGCGCCCCAGGGACTGTCAGAGAGAGAGGCTCGGGATGCAGAACGTGCCCCGGGGAAGGGGCCGGCACTTCCCATGGGGGCCCCGCATCTCAGGCCCCCGGCCTCAAATTTGGATGTTCGTTCTGGGGGCCTTCCTGGAGCCACTCGCTCCACTCGTGCGTCGAAGCTGCGTCGAACGTCAGTCGATTTGGGTCGACCCCGAGTCGAACTTGAGTCGAACTTGAATCGAACTGGGGTCGAACAGATCCGTTAGGTGGGCTCCAGGAAGGTCCCCGAAACGAGCATCGAATCAAATGTTCCTTTCAGAACGTCGGCCCCCCAAAGGTCTCGACCCACTCCCCGGGACTGGCTTTTCCTCCCAAGCCGTCACTTGACGGTCCCAGTGCCCGGTGAGGGCCCACGGAGCGCGAACACCGTGAAGAAACTTCCGTCGTGTTTTTCACGGCGCGGGGTGGTCTGGGCATTGAACCGAGCAATGCGCACAGTCGGAGCGTTGACCTCAGGAACGAGAAATCCGCCGATCCGGCGTGCAAGTTGAAGGGGGGGGGGGGGGCCGGGGTGGCTCTGCCGGGGTCGGGGGGGGTCTTCCACAAATTGGGCTCGGTTGGTCGGGGTTCGGTTGGCCAAAGCGGACCCAAACGTTGCCAGGAAACCGCCAAGACGGGCCAAGACGTTTCTGGATCGCCCAAAACTCGATCCAAGACGCCGAACATGAACCCAAGACAGCCCAGGAGGCCGCCAAGACGCCCCCAGACGCCCCCAAGAAGTCTCCCAAAAGGGCCCCGACCGGCCTTAGGAAAACCTGCATTTTAAGCATGTTCGCCTCTTGGGCCTTCACAGTGTCCAAAACGGCTCAAGGGGCCCTCAAAAAGGCTCCAAGACGGCCTGAGAAGGGTTTCCGCAGGCCCAGGAGGCCCCCAAGACGGCGCAAGAGGGCTCCAGGACGGGCCCACGAGGCGCCCACGAGGGCTCCAAGGCGGCCCAGGAGGCCCCCAGGAGGCCCCAAGACGCCCCCAAGACGCCCCAAAAAGGCTCCAACAAACCCCAACTCGCCCCCAAGGACCCCCCAGTGTCCAAAACGGCTCACGGGGCCCTCAGAAAGGCTCCAAGACGGCCGAAGCTAGAAGGGCCCACGCAGGCCCAGGAGGCCCCCAAGACGGCGCAAGAGGGCTCCAGGACGGGCCAACGAGGCGCCCACGAGGGCTCCAAGACGGCTCAAGAAGGGCCCAAGACGGCAGACGGCCCAGGAGACCCCCAGGAGGCCCCAAGACGCCCCCAAGACGCCCCCTTGACGCTCCGCCGCCTCTGAGCGCCGCCAGCGCCTCCGAGGAGCGCCCGGCCTCGCCCTGCGGGGGCCGAGCCGCCATCTTCCCCCCCCCCCGCCGTCGCACGGAACGGCGCGCAGACGCCGCCGCCGTCGTCGCCGCCCTCGTCGTCGCCGCCGCCGCCGTCGCCGTCGTCGCAGTCCAAAGTAAGGGCGCGAGGTAGGGATGCAGGGCCCTTGGGCGCCCGAGTGGAAATAGTCACGGCCGCATCGGGCCAACAGCTCTGGGAATCTATGGGTCCCTCCCTCTTCCCCTCCCTCTCTCTCCCCCGTTCTTCCTCCCCCGTCTCCCTCCATCTCCCCCTGCCTCTCCCTCCATCCCTCCCCATTCCTCCCTCCCTCCATCTCTCCCTCTCTCCCCCTTCCTCTCCCTCTCCCTCTCCCTTCCTCCCTCCCTCTCCCTCTCCCTCCCTTCCCCCCCGTCCCTCCCCGCGCAGTATCTGAGCCCCGTGGTCCCACAGATGGGGCTCGAAACACATGGGTTCCACACGCATGGGCTTCCACGCAAAGCCGATCCAACGTGTGAGTTTAAAAGATCCCGATCTTCAACTCAGCTCTGCTGGGGCTGTGGCCGGGGTGGGTCTGCCAAAAAGGAAAGGAGGGGGGAGGGAGGGGAGAAAAACGTGTTTAACCGACCATTTAATTAACTCGTCCCGCCCGCCACCCTGGGGAACCCCTTTTCGTATTGATTTCCCCATCCCGAGTATGTTCGGAACATATCCGGGACCTTCCCCAAATCGGACGGGACCCGTCCCGGGACCCTCCCCAGGACCCTCCTCGAGACCGTCCCGGGACCCTCCCCGGGACCCTCCCCCGGAACTCCTCCCTGGAACCCCGGGGCACCTCCCCGGGAGGGAATGCGCTTTTGGATGTCCCGAGCGGTCCCGGGGCGCTCCCGGCCCGTCCCGGCCGTCCCGGGCGCGGTCCTGGGCGGTGCCAGACGCGGTGACGGGCAATCCCGAGCGCGATCCTGGATAGTTCCGGGCGCCACATCTGAATCACCATCACAACCACCATCACCATCACCAGCATCATCATCAGCATCAGCATCAACATCCCCATCACCATCATCATGATCGACATCATGGTCAGTGCCATGATCAAAATCCTCCTCCTCCTCCTCCTCATCATCATCATCAGCAGCAGCATCATCGTCATCAGCATCATCATCAACATCAGCATCATCATCATCATCATCAGCATCGCCACCACCACCACCACCACCATCATCATCATCATCATCATCATCATCATCATCATCATCATCATCATCATCGTCGTCATCATAATCATCATCATCATCATCATCATCATTATCATCATCATCATCATCATCATCATCATCATCATCATCATCATCATCATCATCATCATCATCATCATCATCATCATCATACGCATCATCATCGTCATCGTCATCATCATCATCATCATACGCATCATCGTCATCGTCATGGTCATCGTCATCGTCATCGTCATCGTCATGGGCATCGTCATCATCATCGTCGTCATCGTCGTCATCGTCATCATCATCATCATCATCACCACCATCATCATCATCATCGTCATCATCATCATCATCATCGTCATCATCATCATCATCATCATCATCATCATCATCGTCATCATCATCATCATCATCATCATCATCATCATCATCATCATCATCATCATCATCATCCGAAGCGCCCCGGATCGGCGGGACTGGCCGGAGGCCATTTCAATAAGGAACGAGTCCCCGCTGTTCTCCTTAAGCTTAACCTCGACTTCCAATCGAAAACCGGCGGGTAAACAAAGCTAAGGCAAGCAGTAAAACAACAAAGGAACACGGAGGCCTTCCCCAACGAAGAGGGCAGGAGAGCCCAGAACCGAATCGACAAGTCGGATCGGCGATGGAAACGAACCGGACGGGCGGAAGAACCATCGGCAACCGAGTCGGGAGAAGCCGAGTCGGCGGACGCCGACAGGCTGGCACGTCTCCCGCAGGGCATCGGCCTCCGCGTCGGCATCCGAAGCCGAATCGACGCGGCACCGGAGCCCGTCGGAGCCGGAGCGGAGCCGGAGTCGGATGATGGGCTTGTTTTCCACCACCACCACCATAAGTTGGAGGGGGAGGGGGTCCTCCTCATCCTCCTCGTCCTCCTCTTCCTCGTCCTCCTCGTCCTCCTCCTCCTGCCCCCCTGCAACTGATGGTGGTGGTGGTGGAAAACAGGCCCATCATCGGAGGCACCGAGCGACGAGCCCCGCCCGACCCGGAGGGCCTCCGGGGGAGGAGGCGCCGAGAGGCGCCGAGGGAGGCGCCGCGGGGGGCGGGCCTGCACGTTCGGCCCGCTGTCCCGCAGCAGCCGCACCAGCGGGGCCACCGCCCCCGCGCGGGCGATGGCGACCTCTCCGGGCAGGAGGGGGGGGGAGGGGGTCCCCCCCCCCACCCTTCCTCCTCCTCCTCCTCCTCCTCCTCCTCCTCCTCCTCCTCCTCCTCCTCCTCCTCCTCCTCCTCCTCCTCCTCCTCCTCCTCCTCCTCCTCTCCTCCTCCTCCTCTCTGGGAGGGGGGCCTCCCCCTGCCCAGGGCTTCCCCTTCCTTCCTCGAGGGAGCGAGGGCGGGCACGTTTTTGTCCCCCCTCCCAGGACTTGCCCTCGTCGGGGACGCGGGAGCGGGAGCGTTTTGCCCCTCTCCCTCTTCCCACGGGTGTCCCTCCTCCTCAAAGACGCGAGGGGGTGAACGTTTTTCCCCTTTCCCGGGCTTCCCATTTCCTTTTCCTTCCCTTCCCATTTCCTCCCCTTCTCCTCCCAGGTCTCCCTTCCCAGGCTTCCCCCTTCGAGCGTCTTCTTAACTGTTCGGCGTTTCGGCATTGGGCGGAAGAGGGGGGGTGAGTGGGGGGGGTTGGCTCCAGACTTCTGCAGAATGCGAGTGTTTGCGCCAGTGCGTCCCGTGGGGGAGAAGCCACCTGCTCGAAACAGGCGCCACAACAGCCAAGAGCTACTCCATGGGGGGGGGAGGGGGGGTGCGAGGGCCCGCGCCGATCGGAGAAACGATGAACAAGAAACGATCACCTTCTCAAAAGGAACAAAACGGCATCAACAACACCTTTTCGAAGTTCCCGGGGATGTCTTGGGTCGTGAAGGGCAAAGATAGGGGGATAGGGATAGGGGCCTGGAATCGGCGATACATCGCCGATAGATCGGCGATATGCCTCCGATAGTGAATCCGCACCTTCCTGGGTATGTTGGGGTTATCAGGCACCTATCGGCGATCAAAGGGCGATTGGGGCCCGATGTTTTCACCGATCTCTGGCATGGCCTCAGCGCTACCCCCTTTGAGCTCAGGGTGGCGACCACGACGCATGAGCCGCCAGCGATTCTTGTCATTTCGGCCATTGAGTTTGGGATCGCAGGGGCGGCTTAAGCGATGTAGTCTCCCGAGACAGGTGTAGGCTTTTCAAATGACACAGACGACGAGCGGGGAGTTGCCACTGCAGTGCAAGGCGAGCACGCGGTGACCCACATGTAATCCAAATTCGACTTTTCTCCAGGAGACAAGCGCGGACCCCCGAAAACTTAGGCTTGTGCTGCTTCACCAGCGTCTGGTCCGACTCCTCCTTGTCAAGAGGCCCCCAAACACACACATAAAAACAAAAAACACAAATTCGCCTGCCGAAAGACCCAATCATACGTAGTTGTGAATACCGCAATTGTGGGGGAGGGTGGAACCGCATGCGAGCGCAGCCACTGGGGCGTTCGGTGGAGCTCCCTGTGGGGCCACGAAACTTGTGAGGGGTGTGCCAAAAAAAAGGGGGGTGGAACCGCATGCGAGCGCAGCCACTGGGGCGTTCGGTGGAGTTCCCTATGGAGCCACGAAACGTGTGAGGGGTGTGCCAGAATGAGGGGTGGAACCGCATGCGAGCGCAGCCACTGGGGCCTTCGTTGGAGCTCCCTATGGGGCCACAAAGCGTGTGAGGGGTGTGCCAGAATTGGCGGTGGAACCGCAGGCGAGCGCAGCCACTGGGGCGTTCGGTGGAGCTCCCTATGGGGCCACGAAGCGTGTGAGGGGTGTGCCGAAATGGGGGGTGGAACCGCATGCGAGCGCAGCCACTGGGGCGTTCGGTGGAGCTCCCTGTGGGGCCACGAAACGTGTGAGGGGTGTGCCGAAAAGGGGGATGGAACCGCATGCGAGCGCAGACGCTGGGGCCTTCGGTGGAGCTCTCTATGGGGCCACGAAACGAGTGAGGGTGTGCCGAAATGCGAGGGTGGAACCGCATGCGAGCGCAGGCACTGGGGAGTTCGGTGGAGCTCCCTATGGGGCCACGAAGCGTGTGAGGGGTGTCCCGAAAAGGGGGGCGGAACCGCATGCGAGCGCAGCCACTGGGGCGTTCGGTGGGGCTCCCTATGGGGCCACGAAACGTGTGAGGGGTGTGCCGAAAAAACTGCAGCCACTGGGGAGTTCGGTGGAGCTCCCTGTGGGGCCACAAAACGTGTGAGGGGTGTGCCGAAAACGGGGGGTGAAACCGCATGCGACCGCAGACGCTGGGGCCTGCGGTGGAGCTCTCTATGGGGCCACGAATCGTGCGAGGGGTGTGCCGAAATGGGGGGGGTGGAACCGCATGCGAGCGCAGCCACTGGGGCGTTCGGTGGAGCTCCCTATGGGGCCACGAAGCGTGTGAGGGGCGTGCGGGAATGGGGGGTGGAACCGCATGCGAGCGCAGCCACTGGGGCCTTCGGTGGAGCTCCCTATGGGGCCACGAAACGTGTGAGGGGTGTGCCGAAAGAAGGGGGGGTGAAACCGCATGCGAACGCAGCCACTGGGGCGTTCGGTGGGGCTCCCTGTGGGGCCACGAAACGTGTGAGGGGTGTGCCGAAAAGGGGGGCGGAACCGCATGCGAGCGCAGCCACTGGGGCCTTCGGTGGGGCTCCCTTTGGGGCCACGAAGCGTGTGAGGGGTGTGCCGAAGTGGGTGCAGGGGACGCATGCTGATGATGATGATGATGATAATGATGATGATGATGATGATGACGATGATGATGATGATGATGGTAATGGTGATGATGCGGAGGATGATGATGATTATGATAATGATTATGATGATACTGATGATGATGATGAAGAGGAGGATGGCAATGATGATGATGGTGGCGATGACGGCGATGATGATGGCGATGATGGTGATGATGACGACGATGACGACGACGATGATAACGATGACGATGAAGACGATGATGGTGATGATGATGACGATGATGATGATGACGGGAGGAGGGAGGAGGGGGGAGGAGGAGGAGAGGAGAGGAGAGGAGGACGCGGGGCACCGTCTCTTCAAAACGAGGACCCAACACCACAGGATGGTTGGGAATAACAGGATCCACCATCGTTTCCCAAATTATTTGTTTTTTTGTCTTCCCTCCACATCCCATAGTTTGCAATATTTTTCTGAGTGTCGGCGATTTATTGTCTGTGTTAGCTCCTGTTCATAATCCTCCTCCTACGCGTTCTTTTCTTCAGTGGCCAAGTCGCGCACAAGAGGTCACACCCCGGCCCCCAGGCGCAGCGGCGCCAGAGGGAGAAAGTGGTGGGAGGGCGGGACAAGCGGCCCCTCCTGTGACCCCAAAAAACTGCGGAGAAGACAAGGGAGCAGAGGTGGAAACGAGACGGATGCATGCAAGTGCGGAGGGAAGGGGGCAGAGAGACGAACTACGCTTCACACTTGTGAATCCGCGTTAGCTCCTGCTCCGAATTCTCCTCCTGCGCGTTTTTTTCCTCAGTGGCCAAGTCGCGCGCGCGAGGTCACACGCCAGCCCCAGTGCCAATGGAACGGAGAAAGGGGGGTGGCCACGGTGCAGCGGGCAAGCGCGCCCACGTGGTCGCGCTCAATTCTCGGGCCCCGAATCATCGATGACCCCTTGCGCGAGCAAGCCAGCTGCAACCTCGTCGCTCGACGCGCACGGTCGCGCGGACGTGTCAGAACGCCAGCCGCCACGGGAAAGCATGGCTTCGACTCCAGAGGCCGCAAAGACGTCGCTCGCAGCTCCGCGCCGGACATCGCGCCCAAACCACACTTCGGGGCTAGCGACCCCGATGGCTTGCAAATGGCGTCGGAATTCGGCCGTCCACGTCGCAGGCGTATACCCGCCGAGCGGAGGGCCCCTCGCTGCGATCGCATGGTCCTACACAGGCAAACAGATGCCCTCATCTGTGCCGCACAAGCAAAAAGCATGAAAGGTGCACAGATCCACGCGATGCTTTCGCCGGACGGGGCCATGCATCAAACGCCCCAGCGACCATTACAAGATCACGCTTGCACTGCCAACTCAGAGGGCACCCACAACAAAAAACTGCATGCCAAAAGCGGCGATTATGCACCAGCACTGTCGCTGGTGCGCCAGCGTATGGCGGAGCAATCGTCGCAAAACCTGGCGATCAACCTTTTGCCTTGGCAGTCTGGGCGTCCGGCACTTTGCGGTGCCGAGCCTAATGCCTTTCAAAATTACATCTTGGTCACCCTGCCATGGCACGCCGGCTACCTGGTGAGCCAGGGCCCACACGCTCAACCAACCACGCTGCGTTGACGGGCGCGCTCACACCGCCGAGACGCGGCGAATGTGCTACACAGTTCACACCAGCGGGGGCCCACCCAGGAGCTCGGAAGTCCATGCAACCATACGCAAATGCGACGTAACTAGTGTAGACGGTACCGCTTTGCACAGAAACCGGCTGTCAACCACTGTGTCGGCCAGCTGGAGCAGGTCCGCACCTTGAGCACGAACTTCGCTCATGGCCTGCAACACTTCACGGGGCGGGGCGCCATCTGGGCGCTTGAAGGAACACCACCTGTCCCGACTCAGCGCCGTCATCATGTCGACGTTCCGTCTGGCGGCAGCACTGCGCAAACTGTCCACCACGCCCCAATACGTTGACCAGGCCTCAACGGGGCCAGGCTCGCGCGGAACACCACAAGTACTGGCCTGGACCCCGCGGGGGGTTGCAGCAGCACGCAAGCAGCCGAGCGCGCTGCCGCTGCCCCTGGGCACAGCGGTGCAAGACTGGACCCCCTCCGGCGCAACCAGGGGCCTCGGAAGGCCCCTGGGCGACTGGCAACGCAACCCGCGCGGTTGCAGGAGCGGGGCCCGACGGGGCCTGGAGTGCTGCCGCAGCGGCGGCGGCACGGGGCGCGGGCACCTGACGGGCCGGCTCCCGGCGCCCTGGGTCTTGACCCTGCCGTGAAGGACCCGCGACGGGGAGCGCACCGGCGCGCAACTATGCAAGCGCGGGGCCATGCGCCCGGCGGGGCCCGCGGGCCGGACGCACGTGGGCACGCCGAGCTTGAGCCTGGTAGCTCCGGGCGTCGTCGTCCGCCCGGTCGTCCCTCTCCCCTGGGCTGGAAGGGACGGAAGGGGGG